CGATGAAGAAATTATGCAAGAAATGAACTTCAAAACAAGAAACGTGACGTTATATCCTACTGATGACATCGAAGAACAGCTGAGAAGAAAGGAGGAAAAGATTTTGAAAGAGATGGAAGAATTTCAATCGAAAGGCTCGGGCTGGACTCTAAGTAAAATTATCAACATTGAACTACGAATCAACCGCTATGTTCCTCTGAGAGGATCGTCCTACATCGATTTACCAACACCATTAAAACTAAAGAAAGCTATAATCAATATTCAAAACAACGACCATAAATGTTTCCTGTGGTCAGTGCTCGCAGCCATTCATCCAGTAGGGTTTAAAGAGAACCCACATAGAGTACATAACTACAGACAATATGAACACGAGTTTGATAGTGTTCTGCAAGGAATTGAATTTCCAATAGATTTAAACAACGTGAAGTTGTTTGAAAAACGATCTGGGATATCTATCAACGTATACAGCTATGATGAAAAATTTACAGTGTACCCCCTACTTACAACCAACGAAGAAAAGGAGCTACACGTAGACTTGCTTTACTTAAAAGATGGAAGAAATTCACACTATTGTCTAATTAATGACCTTTGTAGACTCGTGCGCTCACAAAAAACAAAAAACAAGAATAGTATTTGGCTATGTAGGAGATGTTTATTACACTTTGGAACAGAAGACTTGTTGGAAATGCACAAGGAATATTGCAAAAAGCATGAACCAGTAAAAATTATAATGCCGAATGAAGGAGAAGTATTGAAGTTTAAGGATTACAACAGAAGTATGAGAGTGCCATTCACAATTTATGCTGACTTCGAATGTATGCTCAGCCCAATACAGTCTACCAGCAAAGAAGAAGAAGACACGGCAGGATCGTACACGAAGAAATACCAGAAACATGATGCAATTAGTTTTTGTTACTATATAGTTCAAGAAGAACACAGTCATGCAACGCCAGTAACATACTTTGGTGAGGACGCACCTCGCATATTTGTAGATAGGATGCTCGAAGAGACGAAGAAAATACGACATCTATATTCTAAAGAAGCTGTCAAACCCATGATACTTTCAGAGGAAAATCTTACTACTATTTTAATGGCTACTCAATGTCACATTTGTGGAGGAGAGTTTACAGCACAAGATCCATTAGTTAGGGATCATGATCATCTGTCAGGAAAATTCAGAGGTCCTGCACACAATAGCTGCAACTTAAACTTTAAAAAACCATCATTTATCCCAATATTTATCCATAACCTTTCTGGTTACGATACTCATATATTTATTAAAATGTTTGGATTAAACAATGAGACCATCGATGTTATCCCTAACAACGAAGAACGATATATTTCATATACTATTCATGTGAAAGGAGGTATCGATCTGAGATTCGTCGATTCATTGAAATTCATGTCGAGTAGCTTGGGGGAACTAGTCAAAAACTTGACACCCTCTCAGTTTAAACATACATCACAATACTACTCAGGTAAACAGCTACAACTCCTGCTTCAAAAGGGTGTGTATCCGTATGATGCAATGGACTCATTAGATAAATATGAGCGTACATCATTACCACCAAAAACGGACTTTTACAACAAGTTGACCATGTCTGAAATTAAAGAAGAAGATTACCAGCATGCAAGTGAGATATGGAGGGCTTTTGAGATAAAGAATATGAAGGAATATACTCTCTTGTACAACAAGTCAGATGTACTGCAGTTAGCCGACGTCATGGAGAATTTTAGGAACGTGTGTATGCAGACCTACAAACTCGACCCTGCATGGTATTATACAGCTCCCGGACTAGCGTGGAGTGCCATGTTCAAGACTACCAGGATAGAACTAGAACTTTTAACTGATTACAACATGATTTTGATGATTGGCAACGGAATTCGGGGAGGTCTATCACAAGTTTCAAACCGCTACGCAGCCGCCAACAATAAATATATGGATGAGAATAATTATGATAAAAATACTCCTTCATCATACCTAACATATCTTGATGCCAACAACTTATATGGATGGGCAATGTGTCAACACATGCCATATGCAGAATTCAAATGGGTCGAAGATCCCCACCTTATTGACGTATCAAAGGTTCCCGATGATAGTGACATTGGATATATCTTAGAAGTGGACTTGGAGTATCCAAAAGAATTGCACGATCTACACTCTGATTTCCCTCTAGCACCTGAACGCCGACCTCCTCCAGGATCCAGACAAGAGAAATTGCTAGCAACATTATATGATAAAGAAAAATACGTCACACACTACAGAAACCTTAAACAATATATGTCTCTCGGTTTGAAAGTGAAGAAAATCCATAGAGCAATCAGCTTTAAACAAAAGAACTGGCTCAAACCCTACATAGATTTGAATACCAACAAGAGAACAAGTGCTACAAACCAATTTGACAAGGACTTTTACAAACTAATGAATAATAGTGTTTTTGGAAAGACGATGGAAAATGTTAGAAATCGAGTAGACATCCGGTTGGCAACGAAAGAAAAACAGGTAGACAAGTGGTTGGCACAACCCAACTTCAAGAGGAGGACAATTTTTACAGATCAACTTGCAGCTCTACATATGAGCAAGACAAAGTTGTTATTTAACAAACCTATTTATTTGGGTATGAGTATCTTGGATATATCAAAGACGCTAATGTACGATTTTCACTACAATGTAATAAAAGCTCGATACAAGGACAAAGCTCAATTACAATATACTGATACAGACAGTCTGACCTATCACATACACACCGAGGATTTCTATGATGACATGAAGGAGATGATAGATTACTTTGACACAAGCGATTATCCACCGAATCACCCCTGCTTCAGCACCGCAAACAAGAAGGTTATTGGAAAATTCAAAGATGAACTCAAAGGGAAAATCATGTATGAACACGCAGGTTTAAGATCAAAGATGTATGCCAGCAGATCTGAAGATGAACATCTTATAAAAAAATGTAAAGGTATAACCAAATCAGTAGTGGAAAATACCATATCTTTTCAAGACTATAAGGACTGTTTAAAAACACGTGTTGACCGGTATTGCAAGATGAATATGATAAGAAGCTACAAGCATGATTTATACAGTGTTGAGCTAAACAAGATTGCATTATCAGCTCACGATGATAAAAGATACATCTTATGCAATGGGATAAGTTCCTTACCGTGGGGACACTCAAAAATACCACAAGAAGAGTTCGAAGAGATGGAAGAAGAACACTCGCTTTCGACGGACTAAGTACTTGAAGACAGACTTGAAGTAATTTTGCATAAGGGGGGTCTCCATAGCACAGGGTTATGTGGTCTAGACCTGTGTGAACCTCTTCCCCCCAATAAATAACTGAAATAATTAATAAAAAAAAATTATATAAGAAAAATTTGAAAAAAAATAAGAAAAACAAGAAAAAAAAGAAAAAAGAAGAAAAGAAGAAAAAGAGGGACCTCTAGCATGGTGGTGAGGTTGACGTTTCTCTAGAGGCTTTTTAACTAACGACCACCGACCAATAAACACAAACCTAGCATAGTATGTAAGTATTCATGTTTTATTACTAAACCCTGCCATAGACAAGATACTTCTAGTAAAAACACCTTTTACTTTATTATATTTGGTGAATTATAATAAATTTTAACTCGCCATTGATTGAACTTAATAATATTTCAATCACAAACATAGATAGCCCAAAACAAGGAGTACAACTACCGAGTATGTGGTGAACTTTAGAAAGACAGTTTAATTAACGCTCAGTAGAGTACTTAAAAGTTACATCGTAACTCAATGATGAATTTATTGAACTCGCTCAAAGCTTGTAGGTTACGAACTATCAGGTGCCGTTGTTGTAGCTGGAACGTTTCTCTAGAGGCTTTTTAACTAACAAACCACCGACCAATAAACACAACTGGAAGTGTTTTTTCTCTGAATTATTAAAACTTACAGTTTTGAGATTTAAGATTTTAATTCTGAGCTTTTTTGTGTTAAGTTTACTATATTAAAATGGGTGTGAATAATGTAGGTTCTATTACTTAAGCCTGCCATAGACACGATACTTTTAGCAATACCCCCACCGCAGCAAACCAAGCAAACCTACAGTTGCCTGATTGGATTTACACTAAAATGTCTCCTTAAAAATATCACATTTATTACCTATTTAAATAAAATGATTTAATCGAGTTTTGGGTTTTTAGGAAAAAATGGGAAAACTTATTTTACAACATATCTGCTATATTGCCAGAAGTGAAACATTTTGGTGATTGGTAAGGATCGAACCCGTGAACCTCTGGCTCATACACAGCCAACTGTTAGGAAAAAACATTATTCAGATTATCCATCATCCCAAGAAAACATAACATCTATGAAATGTCCATTTAACATTCAACAATTGGTGGCCTTTAGAAAGGCCGTTTTTAAGCTCTATGGTAAAGTTATGTTTAAACCTTCTTTCAGCCGTTTTTATCAGCGGATACGATATTTATCATTTGTTTGGTATTTGTTATGGACTACAGCATATAGTTATATAAAATAGAATAAAAGTGTAATGTTTTTAGGTGTATATTACACACTCTGTTATGTGTACATTAGGATATTAAGGTTCTCATTTACCACTATAAACACAGGACCTGTAACTGGCACCGTAACCCAATGGATAACACTTCAAACCCTTACCTAGGAGACCGGGGTTCGATACCCGGTCGAGACACACACTTTTTATCCACAATTTAACAAATAAACAAATATAGTTTATAATTTATGGTATACCTACGTATACAGTACGTAAAGTGAGGTTATGGCGGGAATGCAGACAACCTACGTATGCAGTACATCAAGTAAGGTTAGTACGTACACAATACGTAAACCACACCCGCATACCACCTGCCCCCACATCTCAACCAATAACTCACCTCGCCCAAAGAGGGTCCTCTTCGGGCGATGTAGAATCCCCATATTCCCTCTACTATTTTAGGTTAAAGATAACAACAGTTGATAACAGGAGGCGGCTAACCTCTGTTATGTCGAGTTTGTCCACAGCACCAGGTTGTTTGTTGAGGGTTCTCCTATGTTTGGCTTGTCGAGGATCACCATGACATCTCCTGCAAAACATAACAATGTTGTGATACATAACAGAGTTGTAATACATACATGTTAGTGCATGTACTCAACTGTGAACATCCTTGCATTACGTACATTTACATAAATCTGTAAACAAAACCATGTTTACACTGTAATTTTCAGCGGATATATTACTTCTTTGAAGAGTCGACATTTACTCAAATGTATATCAATGCCAACGAACCTAGTATTTTACTTGAATAAAAAAACATTGTTGATTCGTTTTAATGAGATGAATCAAATTAGTGTTAAATTAAAATAGCATATTTTATTATTTGTCCACTTTTCTCGTACTAGAACGCCAGGCTTCGGCAGAATCAGTTTTGCACAATACTCAAAGCTAGAGATTATCGGATAGCTAAAAAAAATTGTGATTTGCGGAATTTGAAATTGGAGCCTAGACAACTAAAGTTCTATTACTCTTACGCTCTATTACAAGGACATATTCTACACTAAATACAAACATAATTTGTAAACTGAAATCTAATTGTGTTTGTGATTCGTAAAACAATTTTCATTGCAAGGACAATTTCTACAATAAAAAAGTCCATGGTACCTGTAAACTACGAAGAGAGCCACGATGATCACGACGCCGACGGTTGTGGCTGTGATGGCTAGCAGCTCCTGGGAGAAGACGGAAGCGCCACTGGCGATATTTGGCGGGAAACACGAGTGATTGTTGGCGCAGGAGGGAGCCACGCAGGGCGGGTTGAGGCAAGTCTGCGAGCCGGAGCACGCACACTCCGACATCGCAGGCAACTGCTCCTCACAGAGGTCTCCTGGACATTGAGGTTAGGTTTGCGGTTTGGTCAATATTTAAGCTATACTAGGTACTTTATGGCATAGTTTTTCAACAAGAAACCTGGCTATTGCGTAAACGAGAAGAAAGAATGAATTTGTTCAAGTTTATTATTTTGACGAGTTTGTGTAATATGAGATATTGTAAAAAAAAATTTCCATTATGATTAGGAAGACACAAGAAGTATTTACAACATTTTAAGATATGGAATCTAATACCCCTTTTAGAAGATATATGCTTAGCACTTGGCTAGAATAAGATATATGCTCAAGACCAAAACTTGATAAAAAAACTAAGGCAGATTGGATTCTATATCCAGAAACATAATAAACACTCAATTTTAATCATCGTGATGAAAAGTGTCCCTAATAGTATCTTGCATACCAAACAAACAAGTTAAATAAGTTATTTCCGATTAATTTTTAACTATAACCCTGTAATATATTAAATTTAAAAAAATTTTAAATATTAATCTTTAATAAATTCGTCTTATTTTTTACAGTCAATCGAGAAATTACCAATAGTCAAATATAGAGAGACATGTATGTATTCTCATTTCTAGAAAGATCGTGATTTCAACCAGAGAAAATTACATATTTCCCTATCAACAATCACTTCATTGAAGGTCTGAGATAGCCAGCAAATCAAAACCAGAATAAACGAAAACAATAATTTTAAATTCTTGATATAATTCAGTTAAAGATAATTTAAATGTTCCATTGAGTTACCTGTAAATCCTAAGGCACATGCGCAGTACAGCGTGAAGGAGTGGGCTGGGGAGATGTAGACGGACGTGTTGGTTCGAACCTTGAGCTGCTGGTCTGGAAAAACTGTCACTCTCTGACGACATTTGGCGGCGTTCTTGCAGCTGCAGGAGGGTTGAGTACTAGACAACCCTAGAGACCTCAGCACCTCGGCTGCTGTAGACAGGTCCAGACCCTACAACAGACATGTGCATTTTATAAAAAGAGATGTTTACGTGTTTTAAGTATCTTTGTAAATTTATTAGAATATAACACTTGGATTGGATTACATTTATTTCCGAACTAACGCGCCAGGGTTGCATATTTTGAGGCGAAGATAAGGGTAAGTGTGAGATGACAGATTTGTTACTTGAGATTAGCTAGTTCTTTAGCTAAGACTATTTTAAGGACGACTAGGTCAATTTTCAAAATGTCACAATTATTTTGACTTTTCTCTAGATCGAACCAGTGAACTTCCGATTAAGAGGCGAGTGCTATATCCACTAGCTAGCTAGCTACATAACGAGGTTAATCAAACGGGTTTATTTTATAGTTCTTCTAAAAGTTGGATTTTGTTGATATGTTGCGAGAAAAGATTAGTAAGAGACATGAATAAAATGATAAGCATGATAACCTGTGCTACCAAAACCCTTTTTAATATTAAATTTGGGTTTTATTTAACCTTTATTTTTAGCGTTTAATCCACTTGTTCGAGTATTAAGTACTTAAAGTATATAATTTACACAAAGAGTAATCGTATTTGTGCATTGAGCCGATAGATTGACAATAATCCAGAATAACGAATTTGAAACCAAAAGAGACGCAGGTGTCAAAGAGGGGTTTCCAGTCACGAATAATTCGCATTTATCCTTTCTATTGCCTCTCTGAATAGCTTTTATTTTATCTGTTGTTACTTTGCATAGCTTCTCGTTGGTTTTCCATTTCGTTAGCTTTTAAATCCGTAAAAGCGTTGCTTTACTGTGTAGAAATTTCGCATAAAAAAATATTTATTTAAATTAAAGTTAAATTGATAAAAAATGTGTAAAAGTAATGTCTCGAGCTATTTAATTCTATAATTTGAAATTGATATACATATTATTATTTTGTAATTAAGGACTGTGTTTATAATATTCCGATAACAGTAGCAAAGTTTTAACTAAAATTCTTTAGTAATAATTTTGTTAAGGTAGAATGATAAAGTGGGGACAATTTTAATGTAAATGGAAAATTTAAAAAAAAAACTTTTAATTCAATGTATATTCTTTTAATAACTTGTTTATAGATTTTAATTTTATTTACGTTTAAAAACTTGTTTATGTACACTTTTATTATTTTGGATGAGAGAATTTAACTAGAATAAAAAACTAAATCAAACTAAAATAAAATAAATATACACACTAAAAACTTTCTATTAAACTAAAATACTGAAAACATAAAGCTGTAACTAAAGTACACTACAAACAGATTTGACAACAAACCAGTCATTAAAATTGATTAAACTCACCCCCATGATGATGAGAAGCACGTCCAAATACTTCGACGAAGTTTTCTGAATGGATCCAATTGATGCGTTTCTCAAAGTGACGGACTCCATTGTCTTTATTAAATTCCAACTTTCTTCAGCCAAGAAACGTTCTGGCGAAATTCCCACCAGTCTGTAAACGCTTCTTTGAATTAGTCGTTTTGTCATACACATTTTCTACTGATCCGAATTCATTTTTGTTAGACTTACGAAAAAAACGTTACCACCCGGTTTATAAATTGAACTCTTAAATTAATAGTAAAATATTTGCTGTTAGACAGTATTGAGGTAACAGTTTCCTTTTTATCCAAATGCAATCTATATCACAATATAGAAAATCTTGATCAAATTTTGTTAATTGTTGAGTGATTATGTGCCTGAATTCAAATCTAAAGGTCACTGGTTTGATTCTAAGCTAGACTGATCTGTGTTTCCAGATACCATTTGTAATTGAGTAATCAATAAATAATAATATGTAACACATAAGGTTTCAATGAGATATTAACTATACTGTAGACCGTTACCTAAAAAACAAAAACAAATAACAATATTACAAAAAAGACCAAACACAAATAATGCAGTAGTATAACTACTAACTATTTATTTAATACGCGACAAAGGAAGGTTTGTTCCCGATGAGACTTTTTATTTTAAGATTTACCCGCTCATGTTGTGAAAAAAATACACGCGGTGAAGATAAACAAAGTAATTTGAGATATTCGATTCGAGCCCTAAAACACGAAATAAACTCGTGGCTTACACTTTTTTTATATTTGTAATTCAAAGTTGATGAAGTCCTGCAGTTTCATTAAAACCCAATATATCTGTTTTTATTTTGGAATATAAATTTACCTGGGCGTATTTAATGCAAATAAGAGTGAAGAAATTTAAGTTAAATTATAACCGAGGAAAATGTTATGCTGGAATAACATACTGTCTGTGTCCAAATAAGTGATTAAAATGACATACCTCAGACTGACTGCATGCTGAAGGTTCTCCTCCCAGAGTGGCAGTACGACCACCTCCACCGTGACTTGACGGCTAAACTTGCCGTCAGTAACTGAGACGTTGAGGAGGTAACGACCGACGTCTAGTCCTGAGGAAGCCTCGATGACTCCATGCTGAGGGTCTATGGTGAAGAGCGAGGAGGTGGGGAGCAACTCGTAGCCTAGACTGTCGTAATGGTCGCGGTCCGAGGCCAGCACTTGCCCCAGGTCTCCGCCGAGCCAACGGTCCTCGTAGGACACTACTGTGACTCGCAACGGCGACACATCCGGAGGAAACTGGGACTCCTCTATCACCTGTAGAGAAATGGTCAGTCTGCATTTTCCTCATTAAAACTTCTTCGGAGGATTTCTTTATTTACAGTTCATTTGTGGCCTTTTTGAAACTGTTAGAGCAATGATTGCGGACGTTTTACTTTACGATTAGTAATTGACAAGTTATCAAGACATTGCAGGATCGATAATCTAATTCCGTACTAACAATAAATTGAGGCATCATATTGTGCAGACGTGTCTATTGTGTTAGTCGACCCCCTATTGTTTAAAAAACCTTTTTGTATATAGGTAGTTTATTCTTTAGTCTAGTTTTCAAGTTATATACAGTGAATGTTTTACATTGTAATTTTACAGGTTTGGCCAGGTTTTTTAACTATTTCTTTTTTGTCTTAGGCAATTTCCCAACCGTGAAAATGGTTATACTACAGATCCTGCGTCTGCTCATCTTCATGGAAACTTACCACAAAAATTCATTAAATAATATATAGCCTTGTAAACATTTATATTACTCTAATGTTACCATAACTAAGTTTTAATCTTCTAAACTTAGAGTTGGGTACTCTATCACATTTAATGAAACGCCAACACAAAATATTAAAACAAACCTTTATCGTAATCCACGAGTCCGAATAAAGAGGGGGTGAGCCACCGTCGTAGACCCGGACTTGTAGGTGGTAAGTGTCCTTGGATTGTCGGCTGAACTGAGTTAAGGTTTGGAGAACTCCTTTCGAGTCGATCCTGAACTTCCCTCCAGAGTCATCATAGAGGATCTCGAATATGAAAGGAGCAGCGTTGTGAAACACGTCAGCATCAGTAACGACTAACTGACACACAGCCCAACCCGCCGGCTTGTCTTCCTGCAAATAATTATTCAACTAACTTTATGTGTAAATTATTATATATTATCATTATTCAAAAAAAAAAAAATTATATCGAGATATCAACACGTTAAAATTTCTATGATATTAATCTTACAATCATGAATTGGTAATATTAAATTGTTGACTATCATTAAGTACACATGCAACCGTATTCACTGTACTCAATGGCCTTTTGACAAGTCTTGAATAAAATGTACCGTACTCCAGAATAACCTAATGAAATTTTTCCTGATTTTAACAATGGGCTTCAGGAATAAACCTATGTATGTTGTTTAGCTATAACTCAACTCATATTGCAGACAACATATATTTTCATATTGTCGTAGTTGGATGTTATTTATTTATTTTATTTTTTTTATTTAATGGCTGTTGAAACAAATATTCCATACACACAAAGTTTGGGTGGTATTCGCTTATCTTATTGATTTGTACCTTTTGACAAAAGGTGCAAACACTATTGGATAAAACAGTGTTCGTACAATATTTGTTTTTATCTATGAGCCACTTAAAACGTTGAGTTTTCTTTACATATAAGAGTATTTATATTCACTTGAAACTTGCTGTGAAACAGGTTATAGAATACTGAAGGTTATAAATCGTTGTTGGCCGTCCAAACACATATTATTGTTGTGCTTTAATGATAGCATAAACTTCAAATTAAGGTAAAAATATTACAGTTAGCAAATCAATTTAAGCGAACATATAGCATTAGTTTTAAGCTGCAAAGTACACTTAACAGCAAATAATATTATTTGACAATAATTTTGGGGAGTAAGAACTTTTTATAAATAACTAATTGACTACTATCTGTCATTCGCCTCCGTAGCAATGCATGATATATGTTACCAATGTCAAGGAGATCTCATACAGTCTCGGAAGACGAACGTGAGATGGGTGCAATAATTAATTGGCGTCTGATGACATAAACCGCCTTAATCCCCTTGGGCGGATCACAGAATATTCTGTATGAGAAACAGCGGCGTTCTGCCCGCCTTTGTCTTGTTTTCCGCAACAACAAACATTCGCCGGCTTAAATAGGATTTCCGTTCTCTTGGCAATGGACTGCCGCTTTGGCTCAACACGTACTGGGAAATATATGAACCTCTGTCCTTTATAAGAGACATCCAAGTTCCGTACCCTTGACTTCAACTACCGTTTGTTCTCTTCGTCGCTTTCTTATGAATTGAATGTTTTCATTAAAAGGCCACTTAGCTTAATTATTGTACAGGAATTATTTCTTTTACTTATCTGGTACAGGTTAATATAGGTGATTATTCTTTATTGAGTGTGTTGTCGTTTGACAATACATATACTTTTAAGGGTTTCGTATAAATGACTAAACCATTTATTTCTTATTTTGTATTAACATGAACAAAACTTGTTTGTAATTGGAACAATCCGGTAGATTAGAAAAATCTAGAAATTTTTAAACAAATTTAAAATATACCTGTATGTTTGGATTTTTTATGTTTCATGCCAGATCTCTTGAATAAATACTGTAGAACTGCAACGGTCACGAAATATACACTGTATATTAATATCCATTTCTCATTAACTTATTTTTCCATCACTGTCTATTTTGTATATAGAAATGTCCCTTAGTTTTTTTATTTATGTACAAATATTCAACACACTACTACTGAATTAGTAACCATAATTCAACCAAAGAAAACAAAGGATCAACATGTAATCACGACTATTTTTGCTTCACAATAAACAACTAGGGCATGGCTAGGTTACCTGCAGTATGGCTGTGAGGTTTGGTTGCAGGAAGAGCGGAGGATTGTCATTTGCGTCAGTGACGGACACGTGAACGACGGCGATGCTGGAGAGAGTCGGAGAGCCTGAGTCTCGCGCTTGTACACGCAGAACATAACTGTCCACCTGCACACATGGACGACACTTCACGTTAAACGCTTAGAAATCACTGACACAAGAATAGAGAGTAGCCAACCCTAAGAAATGCGGACTCCCAACAATTGTAGTAATCTTTGTGATTTCGCAAGTATCTACATCTGATCGCTCAATGTCTACAACGGTTGGCAAATTCAATTAACGGTCATGTTTGACAGGAGATTGTAGACACTTGTTTACTTAATACTGCAGAGGCTGAAAAATCTGCGGGGTGAGCATTGGGATTACTTAAAATATAACCTTAAAATCAACTATTATGTTTAGTTCTGATGGGATTGCTATCGACTTATAAATTGACCAATGTTATCAATCAAATGTATGACTTACTTTCTCCCGGTCCAGGGGCATGGCCAGCTTTATCGTTCCAGAGACGGAGTCCACCTTAAACTCCTTAGATCTCTCGCCTACCAGTGTATATCTGACGAGGCCGCTAGCGCCACTGTCAGCGTCCACTGCTGTCACCTACAAACACGTTGGGTGGTTCAATCGTATATTAAGAAAACACGTAATAGTTTGACTAATCTTTTAACAACTTGTTAAGTTTAGTACAGTATACCTGAATGACGTTGTCCCCGGGCGTTGCCAGCTCGCTGATCTCCGCGCTGTACGAAGGCTGGGAGAAGATTGGCGCGTTGTCATTGCTGTCTGACACTGTAATGTTGACTGCGGTGTGTGTGCTGAGTGGATGTTCTCCTGCATCAGTGGCCAGCACGGTCAGGAGGTACTGGCGGGTTTCCTCATAGTCTAGTAGCTCTGCTACTATAATCTTATCTACAACAAATATCATAATGTAGAATAAATCTTCATGCAGTATTCCTAAACATTTTCAAATGGCGTAAACATGAAACAGTATACGTATTCAACTATGATGCAAAATATTTTAAAAGTCATCCTTCACGCGGAATCATTAACACATTTTATACCAGTCGTTGGGAACTGCGAACATATGAAAATCTAAATATAATGATAAAACCTAATATTTTGTCGAAAAAACTTTAGATCCTGTAAAACATATCATCCACTAAATTCACAAATTAATTAGCAACATGAAATTACATGTAAAGCTATTTGGTCTTGGTTAACACTACGTAACAACTTGGTCTTTGACACTGAAGCAGCCTCTGGCGTTGCGCTGCAAAGGTCGTTTCTGTCACTGTTTGCATACCAATAACATTCTTTGATCGTCGTCAACAAACATTCGACTGATATTTCATGTTAACTCGTCGTATAAATATTTTCTTTATTTGTTTGTAAAATTCATTGTGTATTTTCTGTATGAAATAATTTGGTTTTTGTATGGCTACTTATTCAAGCTTTTATTTCATACGTAAGAGAGTTTAAAATGTTTAAAGTTATGAATGTCTGACATTTGATTTTCCCACTACAGAGTTTATAACGACACTTAAGAATAACATAAATATGAACTTGCTGTACTTTAATGGTTCTCATTATGACTTATGTTATGATCCTGCCTTGCGTATTGAAAAAAAAATATAAAGACGTACTAATGATACTGGAGATCAGCTTCTATTTAATGTTATATCTTATCTGAAAACACACATATATGACGGACACTATTCGTATGAACAGAATAGAAGGAACTTCCCTGCGTTATCACCTATTGAACAATCGCAGAAAACCTAACACCCAGCTGTCTAGTGTGATTCCAACAATCCCTTTGAAATATGTCAAATTCAAAAATTACATAGGTAAGACTCACCCGAGCTTGGCTCGATGGTGAATTTGCCAAACTCGTTGCCGGCTATGATGGAGTACACGACTGGAGATCTGACGCCGTCGTCCACGGAGATGGCGGACAGTCTGGTGACCTCGGTGCCGACCTCGGCGTCCTCAGACACCAGCGCTTGGTGAGACCTGGAGGAGAACTCTGGAGGGTTGTCGTTGACATCTACCACGAGCACGTGGAGGTTGGCAGCAGTGGAGAGTGGAGGATCTCCCAGGTCCGTGGCGACCACCACCAACGAGTATCTGGTCTTGTCCAGAGGCTTAGCTACCTGCACCAACCCGCTGGCGGCGTCGATAGTGAAGTATTCTGAGTCCATAGAGTACCGAACCCTCCTGTTCATTCCTGAAGAATAAGCAATTTGTAAACAAAGAAATAATTTCAGCGCTGTTGAAAGATGCAAACGGGTTGATCATAACATTTTTGTAAATATAAGCACGATTTTTAAGTTAGGACAACACAAAGACATTTCTTTAAAGAAATATGAGAAGTACTACGCAGAAATGATCAACATTCATGTGAGATATTATAGTCATATTATTTAAATGGCAATAACCCAAAAACATTTCTTTAATATAAGAAGATGAGAACCACTACACAGAAATGAACTACTTAGTACTTTATGTGAGATATTATAGGCAGTAAATATCGTCGCGTTTTTAAGTAACGAAGCCAAAGACATTTATTTATTAGAGGAAATGTGAGAACCACTACACTGAAATGAACTACATCATACTTCATGTGAGATAATATAGCAATTTTTTAATGAAAGAATTGTGATGCTATCTGACTTTAGTTGCTTATAATGATAAACCTTATATATATTTTAAGTAGGTACTGAACTAATTATTACGGCTTGATTTTAAGATTTATTTTTTATTTCTTTAGTAACTTAGAAGTAATTCAACTGCCAACTCTTCATTATTAAATAAAACTACAATTCAATTTTTTTTCAAACCTTGTACATCGTTCGAGTTTATTATCTTAATAATTTTATTCCAAATGTTTAAATTTTTCATTTTTTACTTCAGTGGTTATTCTTAACACCTTGTCAATTGATGATGATTAGGAATCAGCGTCAGTAAAGGATTTGGATGATTTCTCTTATAATTTACAAACCCGTGCATAATCAACAGGCAATATGCTTCGCAACTGGGAGTGTAGGGGTCGCAGTAATGATACAGCCTTCAATCACTTTGTTCCAATGCCCTAGTAAAAGAACATACCGAAGTCAGTGTCGACGGCACGTAGGATGGTGACGAAGCTCCCTGGAGGGTAGTCTACTGGCACTGCAGCAGTGTAATTGCTAGAGGAGAACACGGGCGCGTTGTCGTTGACGTCAGCAACGTGGATGGTCACGTGACTTGTACACTCCCAGCCAGAAGTGTCACGGTCTAGCACATGAGCGACCAGACTGTACTCCGAGACTGTCTCGCGATCTAGGCTTACTCCTGTCTTTAGTTCACCTATGGATGAAAACCCGGATTGATGAATATATATGACCCATAGCTCTCATTAAAATGTAAAACTATTTTAAATCCAAGTTTATGTTTTATTTACCTTCAAACGCATCAAAATTTTCAAGTATTAGTCCAACGATCTCAAGTACTATAGATTACTACTATACTATAGTACTATAGTATACTATAGATTGGATGGTGATATTGCTTGCTTAGGGCATTAAGGACTGTTGTAACGCCAAATTCAGTGACAAATAGCATTACCTGAGGAGTTGAAATCCCTACTAGAGTGTTTCAGCTAGAAGAATTTGACGGACATTAAAAATATTTAGTAATTCAAATATAAAAAGGTATGCTAAAAATTGAAGCTATCAATTTTTATTTTAGGCTGAATAAAATGTAACAACAGTTAGAAAGTTGTTAAAGAATCTCAACAAATTGTATGTACTATTTCATTTTATTTTCGTTATAATACAATGAGCTAAAAAAATTAAACCCTTTGCAGCGCAAGCTTAATAGTCCTACGACAAAACCTCATCCAATATATAAAAAAGTCAAAAGATACAAACTCATAGGCTGTGTTCATATTTCATGTCATTTGTCAGATATGGGGTCAAATTCAAACCCAAGTCCTGAATTGATATGAGGAGTAATGGCTGTTTGGTACATAAACATAGCAGATATGAACATAGATTTGTCAAACGTGTTCAAACGATAGATAGGTAATGAGCAACTAGTGATCCGTCTAGCTTGCTTGGTATCTATTGATATTCAATGCTTGATGCTGTGTGCCATATCTTTGGTTTGAATTAGTCACGCCACTAAAACGTGCGTTCATATCAATATTTGTTTTAATATTTAAATTAAATGTCCTTATCCATGAATAATAGTGTTTAAACTTTTATTTATTTGGACAAATTATAAAACAACAAACTAATATTATTATCAAGTTTAGTTTCAGTCACATTTATTCAGTGAATTTCCCTTGAATATATTTAGTTCTTAAAGAGTTGATGATTGTAAATACTGTATATTCTTACATAAAGAAAACTATTATACTGTAAAGTCGTGTTACATTCATATAATGCAGCATGTCGTTGTTTACTAATTTATAGCCACACTACGATGGTTCATTCAAATAAGAGTCGGCATAAACTAAAACATAAAACAGCTTTTACTACCATCGATTTAACTACTGTTATTTACATATAGTTTTTACCAAATGGTATGTACTAGATCACTAGCCGTATCTAATAAAACCAGAGGATCATTTCCTCCAAGTTCGCTTTGCACTTATAAGTTAGGTATTTTTTTAAACATTTTATTTCAAACTCATGATGAAAAATGGAACTATCATGTTAAATAATAAAACAAAATTTTTATTAAGAATCAAAAAATCGTATTGCAAAAACTGCTTAGGTTCTAATTATTTCATAAATCACCCTTGTTTCTGGGAGTGGAGGGATTTAGTCTCAGTATTAATTAAAAAGAGGCTCCGTCAATTAATTCATTAATTAATTTATAAGGTGCGAATCTTATCCCACGATACGTCAGCTTCATTAAGGACATATTATTAACCAATTTCGCGCTTCAGAATCCACAAAAATTGAAATACCTGATAAAATTCCTCGTCTATGACCTATCCATGAGGTATATTTCTACCCCTAATTAGAGTTCAAAGGTCGCATTTCCTTAGATGTATCCAGCCATAAGGTACGTGGTCTGCATCCCCTTGAACTACCCACACATCCTACATGCTATGACCTTATTATGGATCATCAAGTGGTGTACTTCTTCAGGAAACTCAGACCTTTGATCATCTCTATGATGTTGTGTGAAGTTGCTTCTTGTACAGTCACTCAGTGTTTGAGAGTTATTTACCCAACAGCACTCAATTTAATTTAGGTATTGATAACCGTTGCTTGTATAGACTATTACATTGACACGGATAGACAAATTATAATTATAGAAATTGTTACATTCAATTTCTGAGGTTAATGGAATAAAAATTAACGTAGTTGGAAGTTAATCGGCCAAAAGTGTGGGCTGTTGTAATTTAAATATTGTTGTCTAATAAACCAACATTTCAATTAATCGAATTTGAATTGACAACTTATTGTTAAGTATAGGATATTTCATGTACATAAAATATCTTAGAATCAAAAAGTAGGGGAGACAATGTTACACTGCTACACACTCTGTGAATGCCACCTTCAACTATGTTTTTTATCAACTCCAAATGCATCATCCCTTTCTTTCAAATCATAAAATCACTGTAATTTATAGTTACCGGTGATCTGGTTGAAGTAGAAGTGAGCAGCGTTGGTGCCTGTCAGATGATATCTCAACTGAGGATTCAGGTCGGCGTCCTCTGCAAGCACTGTCAGCACTGTGGACCCTGGAGCAGCATCCTCAGACACTGTTGTCTTCAGCATGGGCTGTAGGCAGTGAGGCTGGTTGTCTGTACAAAGAAACAAGACAAAGTCTACATTCACTGTTTTATTAATGGTCTATGAATAATTTGTATAAAACATCTACCATTAATATATGTTTTTAAATTTTAAAAACATTATATCATTTACATTACATCTTGTTGCTGTATGCTAAATGGCCGAACGAATCATTGAAACATTTATTTTATATTTTAATGAACAAAGATTCAGTTTTGGATTAAAACATCTCGACTTTATTTAGCTATTTGTCACTAAAATTTACATATCTTACATAACCCTTACATGTTTATATAATTTTTTTTATTTTGACATGTCAGTGTTAAGATATGCAGTGTTTTAAAATGAAGTTGGAAGTTGAGCAAACAAAATTAGCCTATCAATACAAGGATGTCAAAATAAAACTTTATAAAACCACAGAGAACATTAAATTTAACAAAACATGTTTGAACAACAACCTCATCCCTAACTACGTTAGAGTCAAAGTAAATACAAAAACAAGATCAGCCTTGAAAGCTAAAAAAACAGCAGAATGTCAATGGATTAAAAACGAAATAAAGGGATTATATTCTAAAAAAAGTAGATTGAATAAATTAATGTTCAAAAAACATTTGGAACTTTTAAATAACTTACATGCTACACAATTAGATAACGTTATGCTAGAAATTGAGCAACAGGTGAGTAGAAAAATCTTAAAGAAAAAAATCATTCAAAGTCAGAAAATAAATAACCTAATGGAGAAACAACATAAACAAGATATTATAAAGTGCAACCATGTTTTCTACAAACGAGTTGTTAACAACACAAAGATTGAATTTACTGATGAAGAAATTAATCTTCTGAACAGAGGTTTAAATTTTAATTTCCCCAGCAACAAAAAATCAAGTATTCTTACAGAGCTTTTAAACACAGAGGCGTCAGAAATAAGTATAAAAACGGATGAAATACGTGAAAATGTCAGAGTTTTGATAGGGAATAAAGCAAAGAAAGTGTGGAAAAACTTTTCAGGAATTAACAGAAACAACGGGAAATTTAGCTCTTTGAGACATGCATTGAAAAGTGTCAGGAGTAAACTTGCAGAACACAACGCGCTGATAACGAAAGCAGATAAGGGCAGCTCAATAGTTATATTGTACAAAGATGATTATGTCAACAAAGTGTCACAATTTTTTACTAAAAATAACATCGTACTCTTAAATAAAGATCCAACTCTAGATAATTCAAAAGAAATAAATAAAGCGATCACAACGAGCAATCATTTACTAACTAAAAATGAAATCACGTATTTAAAAGTGACAAACCCACAAGCACCTATTCTGAGAGGTCTACCAAAAATACATAAACCTGATGTGCCAATCAGGCCCATAGTCAATTTTATGCCATCTCCAGCATACAAAATCGCAAAAAAGTTAGACAGAATAATCAGAAATGAAACCGTACTGGAAAACAATCATAGTACTAAAAATAGCTTAGAGCTTGTCGAAAAATTGAAAACCAAAGTTATAAAAGGCAACCCTAAATTAGTATCATTCGATATTGTAAATTTGTATACTAATGTACCTGTGCAGGAAACTATATCCATCCTACATAAGAATTTACAAAAAAACTCCAAACTTTCCCCAGAAGCAATAGAAGAAGTTATCAAATTGACAAAAATTGTATTAAAACAAAATTATTTTAGATTTGAAAATAATTTTTACATACAAAAAGAAGGCTTGGCAATGGGATCCCCACTCTCCAGTATCCTAGCTGAAATATTCTTGAACCATATAGAGAACAACAATCTATTTACAGATGCTAACCGTTACAGAGATAAAATTTTATTCTATTATAGATATGTTGATGACACCATTATGCTCTTCAACGGGAATAGCAGACAACTTTCTCTATTAAACAGTTATTTGTGCAAAATGCACAAGAATATTGATTTCACATTAGAGGAGGAAAAAAACAAAACGTTAAATTTTCTGGACCTTACAATTAAAAAACAAAATGATCATTTCGAATTTAAAATTTACAGGAAGCCTACTTGCACCGACCAGACCATAAATGCCGATTCACACCACCCACACTCTCAAAAAATCGCCGCCTACAACAGTTTTATCCATAGATTGCTATCAATACCAATGAATCAGACTGATTATAATGAAGAAATAAACACGATAAAATACATAGCAGTCGCAAATGGCTTTCACTCCAGTCTAGTGGACAAACTGATTTTTAAACATTTAAATAAACCTCAAATTAAATCCACAGAAAAGAAAACGTATATTTCAGCAATTTTTGGTTCACACATCAGTAACACATTTAAAAATATCATGGACAAAAATAAATTCACCGTATCGTTCAAGACTAACAATAAACTTGGATCTCTATTGAAAGATAAAACAGAAATTAATTCATCCATCTACGATAAGTCTGGAGTCTACAAAATAAATTGTAATGACTGCACGAACTACTACATTGGCCAGACTTCACGCTCGTTTAAGAAGAGATTTAAGGAACATATGCCCAGAAAAACAACAGCTCCCCAAACATCAAATTTTGCAGAACATCTAGTATCACACAACCACAATTATTCAGATATCAATAGTAATATGGAAGTTTTACATTTCTCGCAGGACCGTCTAACCAGAAACACATTGGAAGAGTTTGAAATATACAGAGCAGTTAAAGCTGACCATCAAAATGTTTTGAACGATAAACTCTCCTTCCAATCCAACTATATTTACAACACAGCTATAAGGATACTGGAGGGAACAATGAATGAATGAACACGCACCGGTGATAAGAAGACAGAGACAACGTCACAGACCACTTTGACCGCCAGTCTAGACTTTACCTCAGCCCGGTCACGATCGATTGTCAATGTCCCTTCGTGTTTTTCGTGTTTTTTGTAATGTGTGTCCGTTCCGTGTATCGTGTTTTGTATATGTTTTATTTATTGAACTCTGTTAACGACCTTCGAATGAAGTGATCACTTGACACCTTGAGGCCTGAAGATGGTTCTAAACAAGAACCGAAACTAGTTGCCTAAATCAGCAACAAAGGATTACTATATGCAGGTATTTTAAACCATTTTAAGTTAAGATATGGTGGGATATTATATAAAAAAAAGTTATAATAAACAATGCAGTTTAAAAGATATTTTAATTCCTAAAAGGAAACATTGTGAGTGAGAGTAGGATTAATTAACACATTTTTTTCTAAATAATACTTTTCATCATAGTAAGATTAAATGACTCATTTTAAAACAAATTCAGACCTAAAATAGTCCTACCGGGTTGTCAAAACATCGTCTGTTTATTTTCCCTTCGTATGAATTAGGTAGAATCGCAGCATTGCATATGAATTGCAATTGTGTCAAGAGAAGTAATCGATTTCAACTCTTTGTTTCGGTGTTTTTGTTTGAATTGTGGTCAATCGCTTTGTATAAGTTTACCAACACGGTGGGTAATAGAGCAAAAGTATAAATTTTTAACAATTGAAAACACACACAATGTGAAAGTTCCTATTACTTGTTACTAGCAATTGTCCACAACATTTTACATTATTGTGACTTTAATCGATATTGTTTCTAGTGAGATAAATTCGTGCGAAATATTTGCACTTAGTTTATTGAAGTAAAATAATTGTATTAACCTTTTAAACAATGAAGAGTTTAGCAAGTAGCTTTAAAACCGGTTACCATTGCATTTTATTTAGAACATGCACCTAAACTTAACTAGCCAAATAATGTTCACTTTTTGTCTTTATTATTTGTGTTGATTTGCAATACTAATTTGAGTAAATGTAATTGTGTTGAATGCATAATTTATAATGCGCAGATCACTACGGAATTGTTTGTTTTATGTTTTCATACACCACTTTTTATTGTGTCTGAACTTTATAGCGATATAAATCGTCTTTAGTCATACGGAAAAAATTAAGTTTGAGTAAAATATCTCGATTAAATAAAAAATAAATTCGTCCAGCAATCGTTATATTTTAATACGAGCAATTTTCATATAATACAAATCAATATAACTAGAGGTTTGTGTAGCGCAACGCACTTAACTAGTGTTTTAGTGTGCAACCAATACAAGTCATTGGTCTGATTGATTAAATAAAATAATTTTACCATAAGGAATACAGACCTTGGTATAGAATCGAGGAATTGTATAACATAAATTGGTAAAATGGTGAATCTACATAAAATTCCTTTCGTTAAAATGATTTAAGTTTAACAATGTATATATTTGCAAAAGTAATTTAATTTAAATGAGTGCATGTTTGCACAAATCACCTTTCATAAATAAATACTACACACTGAATGCTACACATCATGTGCAAACTAGTGATAGACTTTGACGTTAATACACATAGACTGTGATTTATCGTTTAATCAAGGGCTAACTTTGTGCCTGAAACGTCCACATCATTCCACAGTTTGTGACAGGTGGATTGAGCCCCGCTGTGTGAAATGCGCTTGTCAAAACCAGACTTTCAGTTTATAACTGTTAAATTAAGAAATTAGTTTCGTTTCTAACTTACTCGAGTCAGGTGTTGAGTATTTAATTAATCTAGTAGTTTCTTGGTATTTCATGATGTGGGATATCATGTTTATTTTATAGTTTTTTTATAAATAATGCATCGTAATAACTATAACATAATCTAAAATAGGCTATACTATTTATTATCAGCATAAGCCCCGAATATGATTGGGAAACCCCAAACTTCTCGATACTTTTGCAAGATGTCGAACAAATATCGATTATCAGGTATAGTTTCGTCGTAATATCAGTCTATCGCTTCATCAGGAGTCGATTGAGTTGCCTTACATATATATTGTATATCCAACTTTTTCAACGGAATTTTTATTTACACGTTGGTGCTATTCAATTCTGTTGAGAAAATTTATTCTACAAACTATAAGCACAATACGTGCCGGCCTTTATTCCGAAATTCAAAAGAACTTCAATTTTTTAGTTACTTTAATGGGGTTACAGAAATTGCAAACCAAAACCAACCAAGATGCTTAGAGGCGTTCGACGGTGTTGTTCATACACGCTAAATCCCAAAGAAATCAGAAAATATCTACCTCTATTAATCACAAACATATACACTTTCAGATTCAGGAGGTACTAATTGAATACATCCACCAATGGTTAACCTATTTTTAAGTAAGCATCGGATTTACAAACAATAACGTACACGCAAAGAAGGGAGAACGAAATTACATGCTCATTTTCGGAGCTATCTCATACTCAGGCTATTAGCTTTTAGGTCTCTGTTCTTTAGTATACGATTTATTAATATTTAAGTCTACATCTACTACTAAAGAACAGAGGCAACAAACAAAAGGTAATAACTACTTACATACAGTATAAAAATACATTGAATTTATTAGTTTAAAATAATAAACTAAAGAATGACTAACCGTTGACGTCAAACACGTGGATGATGACCGTGGTGTGGACGACGTATTTAGAGTCTGACACGGAGATGTTGAGAGTATAGGAGTCTACAAGCTCCCGGTCTAGAGGCTGGGCGAGAGACAGCTGACCAGTGGACCTGAGGCTGAACCTGTAGTGAGGGTCTCCAGAGGTGATGTAATAGTCTAGACCTGCGCCGTCTGGGTCTGAGGCTACGACCTGCAGTACTGAGGAACCGACTGGTAGACTCTCGTTCACTACAAGCAAAACACTTCATGTCCAACTTCACCTATATACTTAATATAATACCTTAAGGGTTTTTCATGTAACATCTATTTTTCAACCGTCCTATTTAACTGATGTTTACAATTCAGGTGTCATTATGAAGCGTATGATCTAGCGTCTCTGCGAATGGTAATCAAAAAAGGAAATTCCCTTAAGGGCTTCACGCCCTCTCGATTAATTTGATTCTAGTGCTTATTTCCAAATATCCAGGTATGCTGACCAACTTTCTGAATAACGGTTAAAATTTGAATTGTAATTTAACACTGATCAACCGTTCAGAACACCCGCTGATTAACTTCAATTGAATTTTAAACCGCAGTTAGATTGTAAACAAGAGTTTATGAAAATGTATTTTGAATTAGCTACTATTTTACCTGATTGGCGTAGGTAAATCACTCTTAGTGTAGATCCAAAATCAACAAATGTATTGTTAATTATAAGTTCTATTCATCTAATAAATGTTTTAAGTAAACATAACCATGGAAAGACGAATATTCCACTGGATTAATTTTGCCTCGAAAACAAATTCTGGTTACTATTAAACTATGCAATTTGTGCACGGATCCACTCGTATTTAATTATTTACTTTGAAGAATAACATTTACATGACTCCACAATTGCTTTACTGTGTTATTCCGATACTAAGTGTGTACGAAACATTCTTCGGGTGTGTACGGTGTGTAGCCAAGTGGTTGGCGTTTTGACATAACAAGCGGGTGCGATTTTTTATATCGAACATCTACAAAACCTTAGGGGCTTAGACAGCTCTCACTTAAAACTGTTAGCAATTGTTTAAGTTTAAATTCCACTAACGTTAACACTAAAAAGTACAATAAAACATTAGAGGTAAGCTAACTGATCTTCCAGCCTCATAAAATAATACTAGTTGCTCTGCCCGTACTTCGTTACGGTGTGAGAATGCAGAAAAGAATAATTTGGTATTACTTTAAGATACTATTATATGTATACTATAAGAAAAAGTTACAACACATTACCAGGAAACAGGCAAAGGCTCAATCGTGCTTATTGATTATTCAAATGAAGATGTAAACAAATTAAATGAAATAGCAGAACAGCATTTCTGACAACAGCTGGAGTTTCATAACAATGTTTGTTTCCCGTGTTAATCTTATGGAGAAATACGAAACTTTAAAGGGTCCCAGGGCCTCACTCTCTAATTATTTCCCTAAAAAGAAAGTTTCCCGCACAACTTCACGTTACGTTCTTTCCAATGACAACAAAAACATGTCAATCGGTTCAATAGTTTCGAAAGAAGTAATAGTCACAAAAAACCTGCTTGCGTATTAAATAAGTATATATTGGGATAATGTAAAACATTAAAAAATACTAGTATATGATCCCTGCAATATAATAAGTTTATGGTTAAGAAAACTGATTATAATAAACAGAAGAGTGTAGTGAGTGACATATTTTACCGAACTAATAAAATTATTAGTAAAATGATAAACCTACAATTTTATTAAAGAAACTTTTACTACCTACATGTAATACATGAATTTCGCTTTTAATAATCGAGGCTTAGATGCAGTGAAGTTTTGACACCTCTTGGGGCGTTTCAAGCCACTCAATCATTCCATTTTCTAAATTGCTTAGAGTCTAATATAGCCAATTCATTCTCCCTCCCTCCCCTGATAATTTTAAAACATTTGGATGAAAAATTACACCAGGTGGTTCAGGTGAAGTAGTGTAGACTTTTTCGACCATTGTTATTTTATTGCGTATTTCCTAGTTAAAAGCAGGTCTTATTGCTAAACTACCGTAGGTGTATATTATATTTTTAACATTTAAATTAAATGGACTGTTTGGTAATCATTCAAAACAAAAACATAGGGCGTCAACTAGACTCAATATTGAAACAATTCTAATTGTGAAGATGGAATCTACGTAGATAATTTGACACGAACAAAGTTCGTAAAAGTGACTAACTCTCAAAGTACGAACAATTACATCACGCGTTTGTGTTGAAAATCAAAGTGAACTGAAGGGAGCCCCGGGACGCTTGCCAACTACAAATAGCACTTAGTGCTTAATGTATTGCTGTATACGGCACAAAGATAATAGAGCCCCTCCCTCCGGTAAGACTAACACAACACAAACAATCAATTAATTGCCATGTAGAGTATGCCCCATACCGCTGTATGATGATATCACATATAGTATTACTAATTCAGTCTACTAGTAAATCTTCTAAATGAATATTTAAATAGATTGTTTGAATCGAACAATAAGAAGTGGCATACAGTTTTTACAGTGAATTAAATTTATGTTTGACAATTTGAATCTTTCATTACGTAAATGAATTGTTATTGAATGTCATTTATAAATCTTTTGCTGCTAGATATCCCTAAGACTTTTTCTATGTTGCTTTGAAACCAATACCAATTAATTAAACTTTAGCAACATTTACCCAAAAAATTGACAGTAAAAACATGTTTGAAATGCTAGTGAGTAACTACAAAATAAATTTATTAATTATAGTATGCTATGGCTTATGTTCACTTTAAAAAGATAAAGATAAAGACTTTGAGGTAGTTTTTTTATGCTGAATATAAAAGCATGGCAGGGGTAAAACGGAGTTACAATCTTTTGGTAGCGTTGTTTTCGACTAGGGTAAGTAGTTTTTCAGCCACAGCCAGGGTCATTTATTAAAGGTTCCATAATTTAGGTCAGCTTGGTCCTGTTTAAAACCATTAAAATTTACTGTCCGTTCAGAATTTATAGGTATCCTCTGGACTAGTTGGTCATATAACTATTCAGCTACATCTAGGAACTCTAAAGATCTTAATTTAAACGACAAAATCTCATGCATTTACTAGGATGGAATATTTATAGAGTAAAATTTACGTCACGTTGGTGTTACATACCCGACACAGTGTATAGTCTCTCAGAGAAGGTCGGCGGACTGTCGTTGTAGTCTACGATGTCTAGGAGCAGGACAGCGGTGGAGGAGAGCGCGGGGTCGCCGTTGTCAGTGGCGGTGAGTACAGCGGAGTGTATAGGCTCCACCTCACGGTCTAGAGCAGATACAACGGACACCCAGCCAGAGTACGGGTCTACTGTCAGCACAGGTGAGGCGATGGAGTAGCGAACCTCGCCCGCACCACCCTCGTCGTCATCACTGGCTGACACTGGAACATCATACTAGCTGTCACTGGAATATCAGATACAGTATCATACTAGCTGACACTGGAACATCAGATACAACGGACACCCAGCCACAGTACGGGTCTACTGTCAGCACAGGTGAGGCGATGGAGTAGCGAACCTCACCCGCACCACCCTCGTCGTCATCACTGGCTGACACTGGAACATCAGATACACTATCGTACTAGCTGACACTGGAACATCAGATACAACGGACACCCAGCCAGAGTACGGGTCTACTGTCAGCACAGGTGAGGCGATGGAGTAGCGAACCTCGCCCGCACCACCCTCGTCGTCATCACTAGCTGACACTGGAACATCAGATACACTATCGTACTAGCTGACACTGGAACATCAGATACAACGGACACCCAGCCAGAGTACGGGTCTACTGTCAGCACAGGTGAGGCGATGGAGTAGCGAACCTCGCCCGCACCACCCTCGTCGTCATCACTGGCTGACACTGGAACATCAGATACACTATCGTACTAGCTGACACTGGAACATCAGATACAACGGACACCCAGCCAGAGTACGGGTCTACTGTCAGCACAGGTGAGGCGATGGAGTAGCGAACCTCGCCCGCACCACCCTCGTCGTCATCACTAGCTGACACTGGAACATCAGATACACTATCGTACTAGCTGACACTGGAACATCAGATACAACGGACACCCAGCCAGAGTACGGGTCTACTGTCAGCACAGGTGAGGCGATGGAGTAGCGAACCTCGCCCGCACCACCCTCGTCGTCATCACTGGCTGACACTGGAACATCAGATACAGTACCATACTAGCTTACTCCAGCCCTCGCATTGATGTTTAATTGTGTGGTGACACTTTGATAAGTATATCACATCTTTACAGCATTCACCAATGAAATATATAGCTTGATGATAATTAACCATGTATTATATATAATTAGTTTGAACAGTTCGCAAGGCTCATATATAGGAGAAATCAACATGACCGACGACCGTACAGTACTGCAATACAAATGTCGTTGTGATATAGACGTCGTGCTTTTCAATAGAGAAAGATATGTGGTCGAGGTGTTCTACTGTAATCAGCCAAGTTTTCCATGATCCCTGAATGTAAGTAGTCTACTGTGCAATGCAAGCATTGAAGAGGTACCATACAAGAGGAAGAATTTCTCAAATGTATTCTAACATTAAGATTAAATGTTAAGCTTATGAGTATTCTCAAGATATCCTACCTCTCACGATCGAGGTGCCTTCATTGACGTTCTCGGCGACGCGGATGTTATACGTGGAGCTATGGAAGCGAGGAGGGTTGTCGTTGATGTCAACAACGTTGACGTACATCTCGGTGAATCCCGACAAAGGAGACTTCAGCGCGAGAACTCCCAGAGTGTGGGAAGGTGACAGCTCACGGTCCAGGGCAGAGGTCAACGTGATAAGACCCTTGCTGTCGATAGAGAACTGCGTAGAATTAGACAAGAGCTTGTACTCCACAATCATAGGCGTCACAAGCTTCACTTGGGCTACAACTGTACCTGTGGAACAAAGAATATTGAGCTCACTTGAGCTATTGTTGTATATCACTGAGCTGAAGTAGCGATTAATAATTGTGGAATTTACCGTGTTACCTTCTTTACCTTCATGTTGTTTATTAGTGTACCTGAGTATAAGAGCGAAGTATACTATCTATAGCTTTAATTTTACAATCACTGAGCTTTTGAAATAAAAAGGTAGAGCAAGTATTTTTACAAATTTAATAACACCCCACTATGGTTACCAATTTGCTCAGGAGACAAATAATAAATGAGAAATGTACAGCAATGTATACTCAATAACGCTTTATAGCTATGATATCATTCAGCTAAAGTAACGAAGAATATTGTAAAATGTAGTACTCAATGTAGTACTGCAATGTGTACTCAAAAACACTTCACATGACCTATGATATCATTGAGCTAAAGTAACGAAGAATAATTGTGAAATGTACAGCAAACTATACTCGATAATTCTTCAATATAGCTATGCTATCACTAAGCCAAAGTAACAAAGAGTAACTGCGGAATGTATCGCGATATAATATCCCTTGATGCAATTTAATAATACTTCATGACGATCTATGTAATCTTTTCAACATACATAATATTGTTGGAAGTGCATTTTATAGTTTGCAACATACTAATCTAGATTAAAAGGTTAATACAAATGTATAATAAACATTTATTTGGTCCAGATACACAATTTTGCTTGGTTATATAAATCAAATGCCAATCGTACTGTGTGTATAATTAATTAAACCTAACTATGTTACTAGTATGACATGTATTAGTAATGTAATACAAGAAACTAATTATAGCTCCATGAATATCTCTACGAGTAATATAAAGAGAAGAAGATCGTGTAATGCAATTCTCAACTGACATAAAAATAGATCCAATTTCAAATGTTATTTCAAAATGAAACCATACAAGCAGTATTCATTTTTATATTTGAGGTAATTCTATGTTATTATTCAAACATTCCGTTCCGAGTTCTGTATGTGTATAGTACGAGTATCAAAATGTATATACAGTTGGAACCAACACAATAAATCGAACACCAGAGTTGATGTTGGGTGAGTCGGTGGCTCAGTTGGTAGCGTCACGGACTTCGGGCCTAAGGCAGCGATGTCGTGGGTTCGGATCCTGGTCACTGCCGCTAACATTTTATCAGTACAGTTCACCTTCGTACTGTACCGGCTCACCCCTTACTTTGCTGGATACGTTCCACACACAAATCTGTAGTCTATGTGTACGGGCAAATGTAAGGTTAAAAGAGGACGCCATAATAATAATACGAGCTCATACAACACTTATTTTCATTGCACACTTAACTACTACGACAATAAATTCAACAACAGTAAATCCCCTTAGTAAAGGGTATGTAGTTCAATTTATATTGGTTTGAGATTTAGTAGGGTTCGAAGTAGTTAAGTATGCAATAAAGATATGTGCTACAAAGCTATAAGAAAGCAAAAACTACTAGAATTGTTTATGTGATCGTACTGACCAGGTGGCGCATGCTCCGGGACAAAGACTCTCTGGTCGCGTCGGTGGAAGGTGGGGGGCGTGTCCTCTGGTCGCATCACGTACACATTGACTGCGACGTCCGAGAACAAGGGTGGAGCGCCACCGTCAGCCGCGCGAACGAAGAACTGGAAATGTTGACGCTCTGCGAATGTGAGAGATGAGATAGCTAATTCAACTGACAGTTCTATAATACAAGTCTCCACTCATATATTTCCAACAATACCCCACTGGCTGCACTGCATCTAATCTTTGTTTGACTACAATTTAGCAAGGAGCAGTCACTCTTATCATAGAAGAACACTGAAAGCTTTAATGTTGAATGGAGCGTATTGTAAAGTTTAGTTTACTAAAAACATGGACTTGCTGAGATTAAGGAAATGCTGCAACTCAAGTAAAGGTTTAACATCTTGTCCTATCCATACTAGAGAGTATTTAGTTATCTTTGTGTCAAAATAAAAGTAATTAAATCTCTTATTAATAACAGTAAACAGGGAGTGCCCTTTTAGAACTATGCCAATCTGTTGCGGTCAATTGCTCTCCAAAGCAATACCATCAGTTAACGGTTATAATATAAACTAAATTTTAAACGTTTGAGATATTAAATAATTATTAAATATAGAGCAATAACCATAGTTGTACTAGCCACTGTATTTGTTTAATAAATAGTACAGTATAAGTGAATTAGTAATTTAAAAATATACAACTACACTACAATGAAAAAACAATGTAACACCTTCTGTAGATAATGTAAATGTTTTATGCGAACATGTTGTTAAACTGGTATATAACATCCTTTTAATGTCTGAAAAGAAAAAAAACAAGTTTCATACAGTGCCTCGAGTCATCAGCAAATGACGTCACTATCGTGGCACAGTCGCCATGATTCCGCATAATGTAAAGCTCCACTGGGAAAATAACTTTTGTCTGCTCTGGAGCGTAATGCATTAAACGGAGATTTAGATAAGCATGCATTACTTTCGGTGTTTGACTTTTAATATTCATCCCGCAAAAAATGGCTTCAAACCACGGTATTATTACCATTACAAAGCTCCTGTAAATGTTAAATTATACTAGATTTATGCTTAACAAAAACTATTTTATTACTATTTATTTTTTTTTTTTTACAAAATATACTAAATTTTTGATATTGATAACATATATTTTACGTTTTCTCCTAAGCAAGGTAAATTCTAGACCCAGGTATCGTTTGCCATTCAGTTATCAATTAATTATGTTATCAACAATGTTTGACGATAGATAGTAAGAGAACCGTTGTTTATTTTATCCTTAAAATAAAAAAAATGTAACTGGAGTAAATTTACACAAATAGTGGTGTGAAAAAAAGCTAATGCAGGCTAATGTACGCTAGATGGAGGCATTTGCATTAATTTTGGTTTAAATTATAGCAAGGTATACATGTTTCTGGAAGATCTCACAGTAGAGTGCTGACTCACCATGCTGAGCGACTGACTGCAACAAAACGATAGATCCAGTCTGAGGATTGATGCCGAACAGATGTTTTACTCTTTTGGATTGCAGATTATATATTGAATACTCCACCACTCCTGCAGTTCCAGTGTCTTTGTCCCGTGCTTTTACCTAAAAACCATATATTTATAAGTTTTCTCTGCAACTTTCTGTTAAGAGTTTCCTGTGGTGTTTTATCTTGTACAAAGAATTGTCTTAAACTTGAGCAATATTCTACAAAGAAATGTCAAAAATGTATGTTAAACTTAAACTTACCGATTTGTAATCGATATTACAGTTTTTCTTTAGCTTAGTATTAAAGAAATATGGCTTATTCACTTGTTTTTGTTAAAGAATACAGGTGAGTATAGTTTTCACTTGAAACGTACTCATTTGTTAGTGTGTGTCTCGTTAAATTTTATTCATGACGAATCGTAGAAGAAGATAAACTTCAAATGTGTTAGTCACCACGAAACATGTAGTTAACCTAACTCTAAAGGTTATTGCAAGTTAATTTATTACTTTATATTGAAACTAGACCTAGAACGTTCGACGGACAGGGGTGTTATTCTTTGTGTTAATAGTTGAAACCTAATTTAATTTAGATCATCAGTTTGTTTACATAAAAGTTTACATTATTCAAGATGCAGACGAAACCTATACACATAACCTTCAAACACAATATCTAATGATAATGAAAATACAGTGTCTAAGAAAACCTAATACGAGCACATTGCAAATACACTTTACGCGGCTACACATTTAGACTCTCGTCTGTTTTCAAGTCTGATGATTTTAGAATAAAACTGCAATCTTACAGAACTTCGAGTCTAGAAGTGGTTAAAAGCAGCTAGCTTAATTACCCTAACCGCTGCATACTATACTGGTGAAAAAGTTGATCAACAACTGTGCTCTTTACTTTTCCCGTTAAAGCTGACAAATAAGGGTACTTATGCGTCACCGACAGACAGACACGCAGCAAGCTCGGATCTCTATGAAAGCGGTGTTATGGAGTTTTGAAATGTTTCAAACATAATTTGACCAAATTGTTACCCATACAACATCGAAATACCCAACTTATTTTTCAACCATCGTGTAGAACTTAGAAAAACAACAATATTGTACATTGAAGCATTGAATATGATTTTCGTGCAACCAAAAGTTATAGAAAAAATTATAAAACCTGTACATTTAAAATATCCATATAATTCTTTTAGAGAACAAAACTGGTTTAGTTTGCCTGTTTTTGGGTTAATTTGTCAAATTTATTAATTTCATCCTAGCCTATCCTGTAAACTTTTAATAAAAAGAAAAATTGTTTTCTTCGTAGCAGCAAACTTTAAAACTGGTTTAATTTAATATTAATTATAATTAAATCAGGAATAAACATGACTTGTTTATGGAAATATATGTAAAATTCCAATCAGACAAATAGAAATTCAATTAGACTGTACGTCCTTTGCGGCCCAGAACCCAGACAGGACATACTTAAGTGAAAACTCTTTTACGACATAGTAGTTATTGGTATATACTCGTTCAAAAATCATCTACGAAAGAATGGGATATTTAAAAGTACGTTATTTTATTTTGAAATTGGGAAGGCTAAAGACATTCTCGCCAGTTAAGTAAATACAGGAAAACTATTTTAAACTTGATAGATAAACTAGTTAACCTGGAGTAGGCCGCGTACATTGGCGGTTTAGTAACACAGACACAAATACGGCAACTGACATAAGACTAGTTTTGACTTTCTTCTAAAAATAACAAACCAAAAACTTCGTCAATTCACGCAAAGCACGGTCAAAACTGTAATTTTATTTATGGGGACATATCAATATCCAGTTGAACAGAAATTCTGAACTGATAAAAAGTTATATTTGTAAGTTACGAAAGTAACAAAGAAAATTATTATTCGAACTAGTACATCTGGTAAATGAAAATTTAAGAATGGTGTAAGCCTGTTATGTAATACTTAAACCCCAAATAAGAGATACAAATTACACCGTTGTATTTCAAGATAAACAATAACCTACCTTGAGAAACACCGAGTCAATGGACAGGTTTGTGGGAATGCAAACGTGGTATTCGGGAAAGTAGAATTCCGGAGCGTTATCGTTGACATCTGAGATAGCGACCCTGACAGTGGCAATGTCAGACCTGCCTCCTCCATCGACCGCCACCACCGCCACCTCCACCATGGCTTGGTGCTCCCTGTCTAGTGGCACTGCAGTCACCATCACACCTGGACACAAAGACAATAAGTAGTGGTCATACAGTGGCAATGTCTGGCCTGCCTCCTCCATCGCCCGCCACCTCCGCCACCTCCACCTCCACCTCCACCATGGCGTGGTGCTCCCTGTCTAGTGGAACTGCAGTCACCATCACACCTGGACACAATGACAATATTGTAGTTTCATACAGTGGCAATGTCAGACCTGTCTCCTTCATCGACCGCCACCTCCACCACCTCCACCCCCACCATGGTGTTGTGGTACTCCCTGTCTAGTGGCACTGCAGTCAACATCACACCTGTACACAATGACAATATTGTAGTGTTCCTCTTTCACATCCTAGGACGTTAGGCTCGTGTCTTATTATTACATAGGCATTGATGATTGGCATCACTTGATTCCAGGACCTCAAGACCCAAAGCTCCGCACTATAAGACGATTTTTCCTTGCCTACACAACGATTTTGGTCGCCCGACATATCACCCGACCAAATTTCAATGTTGTACCCACTCCAACAGTCGAACGACAACAACAAACGGTCAACATGCAGTCGTCCACTGCCACTGTGATCCACGACTGTTACCCGATTCTTGGAACACAGTGGCGTACACCTCCAAATGGAGGTTGGTCCACATACCAATATTTGTTGGCTATCGTCCGTTTTCACCAGTAGCCCTTGCTGCGCCTTCTCGCATATTGTGCACTTCACGTATATTGCTTCTGTAGATAGTGAATAGTGAGGGCTGACCATGTTGAAATAGCATTAGTGAATTAGTAATTGACAATGAGATCTTAATATCTTTTGTAAATCTGGCATTTTTGCCTACGACTGGCATAGGATTTAGTAAAAGTGCCATTCGGCGCCACAATAACAGCAACATGGCAACAAAAAGTTTCGTATTCATGCTTTTACTTCATGGTTTTAACCACTGTTGATATGGATGTGCAACACCTACACTCGTCCACGGCTTCCGAGAAACTGCCCGTTTTATCAATAAAGTAAAACGAAAAACATAACCGCCACGAAAATTAAATGGTGTGGAGGTTGTGATTCTTGTCGTATGGATGAGGACTGCACCACCGATACAAAATCGGGTGACTTAAATCGATGTTAGGGCTAGAGGCATACCGGTAGACCAGCTCGCTCTCCAGGGCGAGAATATAATAGAGTACACAGTTAGATAGTTTCAGGCAATAAAAATAAAACTAAACTTATTAGATTTGCAGTTTTATGTAAATTTACCTACTGACCGATGCAACAATAACTGTTTTTAGTTTGATTGTATAGGCATTTTATTAAACGCTTGAAAGATAGTAGTGTTTTATCACCAAGTAGATTCACATTTAGCTTCATAAAAGAAGGTTTTTACAAATGAGTGAACTCATAAAAGAAGGTTTTTACCAATGAGTGAACTTAGACAATAGCCGTGTCAGCGTTTCAGCCCTTATTCAAACTAAAAGTCTACTTAGTATACTTTTTATGCATGGATGTTATGTCTATTATGGAGTTACATTTTATCACTTCAAATAAATTAGGTTTACTAGTTATTTAGTTTGATCTATCAAAAATTAATATAGTAAGTGATTTAATGGTTAATTCATTGAGCTATTTTTTTTTATATGCGTTTGGATAGTAAAGAAAATAGACGGTTAACATAGAAAAAAATATTAGAATTGTTTAGTAAGGCCATTTATTGTATAACATACTATATGGCCTTTTAAAATACTTTATATTTAATTTGGTACATTATTTTTTTTAAAGCTAACGTACAAATCCTTCTAGTAACGTTTTGTGCAGGGTTATAAATCTATTACATTTTCCAAACCTTGTTTTTTCAGTCATAAAATACGCTTAAATATGCAGCTATGCAATATTGACAGCTATAGATTTGCATCCCAGCACTGAACCGTGAGAATTTCAGTAGACAAGATCGATACGTAAAACATACAGTGACATGAATTCACATTGCTACAAGAGAAGTAAGAGCCACAGCTCAGATCAAGCATACAACTTTCCATGAAGTAAGCCCAGTTTGTTCTCACTCGTCATATATTGAATTGTCAAGCAGTGGTCTGGATGTCCTGTGAATCGAAAACCAAAAGGGGTACTTCATGTGAAAGAACTGATAAACAGATTAACAGCCAGAAATTGTAGCTTAGCTGGTTTTGGTTTTCACAGAAGCCTAGAAACGCCCTATTACAAGCAACGTGAAAATATAATTAAATGTTTTCCATAAAGAATGTCATAAGGCAAAATTACTACAAATATAATATTCAATGTCAATATTTTATTTAAAAATTTTAAATGAACGCGGGAAATAACTTTATAAGATAGAAGTTAATGTTATGAAATGTTTGAAAGTTTAAAATTCGAGATCAATACAAATTTTGCTCAATAGAGATCAATACAGGATGGAATATAGAGCTTTATCCTGTATCCGAAGATCTTGCGGACGAACTTCCTTTAACTCCTAACCACCTTCTTTTAGGAAGTAAAGACCTTCCCTTGCAATCAATGAGAAACATCTACGTAAACAATGGAAAATCGCTCAAGATTATGCCGACAAATATTGGAAGCGATGGTTGAGAGAATATATTCAATATCCGGATAAAGAGGTCTGTTGTTCACGATAGATTCCACCTCGCAGAGTAACGTTCTCAAAGTTTCTTCACGAGGAGCTTGTTAGTTCAAAATGACATATAAGCATTTTTTCACTGACTGCACCAAACGTTCTTGTGCTCCTCCCATATGTGGACTAGCTGGTGGTAGGAAACTCCATTTTATCTTCTTTTCTGTACAGAATGACATTATGTGGTCTTCGTCAAAAGATTGGAGAGCTTCTCTCAGTTCCCTCTCCGCTCCCTTGAAGTTGGTTCCATTGTCCGATATTAATTCATCAGGACATCCTCTTCTTGCTGCAAATCTTCTTATGGCTTGTATGGCTGAGTCAGAGTTCAGTGACGTCGCAAGCTCCAAATGAACAGCTCGCACTGAGAGACATGTAAATAATGCTCCGTAACGTTTTTCTCGCCTTCGATCCACTGTAACTTCTAACGGGCCAAAATAATCTATCGACACCCAGGTGAACGGTCTACCATAGGGTTCTAGCCTGTAAGCAGGCAGAGGAGCCATTTCTGGGGTCTTGGGCATGGTTCAACGAATTTGACATCGCGCAACAACTTTTGATAGCTTGTTTCGTTCTTAAAATCCAAAACTTCTGTCCCAAGTTGTTGGCTACAGTTTCTTGTCCCTGATGAGCCAATTTTTCGTGTTCGTGTTGTATTAAAAGAACTGTTAGTCGCTGCTTAGGATGTAAAATGATTGGATTTTTTAAGTCTTTACTGTTTTGATTTCCGTATTCAGTTCTTCCACTCATTTTCAGAAGGTTTCCAGATAAAATTGGACTCAATTTGAAAAGTTTGCTCTGTTTCAGAATACGTTTGTTTTCTTTAAGTGTCTTTAAATCTTGAGCAAATGATTCCTGTTGAAAAAAGCCTAATCAACATTCTTCAGCTTGCTGAACTTCTTCAACACTGAGACTTGATTGCACATTTTTCTGATTTTTTTTCCTTGCGTTATGTATGAACCCATGCAACTGTTCTGATGAGCCTGGAGTACTTTGAAAATCTGTCCATGCCAATAACAGAATTTTTACAGTTTCTTGATGCAATATATGATATTACTTCATGGTTTCATTATTTTGTGGTTGACTCTCAACTTTTGGCCACAAATCTTCTTATTTAAGAAGAAAGGAGGGACCTTGAAGCCATCGGCAGTTGTTGGAGAGACAACTAGAAATTTCTCTTGTCGTCCATCAACTACATTTTCTCTGTAGTAGGTAGCCACCTCCATTGCTCTCTGTTGGAATTGTTTAAACTTTCTTTCACACGATTAGCAACATATATCGACTTCTGCTTGTGAGTTGATTGTATCCAACACCATACTATTCCAGAATATGTCCAGAGGTATGTCTCCGATATCTTCATCCTGTGAGATTGTTTAAATAGACCCGAAAATCTACTGCCCAGCACTACTGCTTGTAGTTCAAGTCTAGGGATGGTTGTTGCTTGTAAAGGGGCAACACGGGACCTAGCCAGGACAAAAGCAACTTCCACGCTATCCTCTGGGTTTTTAATCCTAAAATAAGCAACCAAAAAGTGAACAAAATCCTTTCTCACTTGCGTCACAGAAAATATGTATTGATCAGAATTTTGTTTGTTCACAATTTTGATCAGATCGTCATGTGCATTTCGCTCATGCAGAAAAAATGGATTTTTTTAACTCGCAGGCTAGTTTTACCTGTTTCTCAAACACTTGCTGCTGCTGCACATCAGGAGGTGAGAAGTCTTCGTTGTAGTCGGGTCCACAGTCTCCAAAATGTTATGTTAGTTAAAGGTACATAACACGGACTTTTCCCATATCAAAACACAAGGACATCAGATTTCCCGGTCACTCGTAACATACATTCTTGATATTACTTAGTCTTTTAGTTATAATTTGATTTACATTTATTAGAACAAACAAAACTCGATTCTGTTTCACATTTGCCTAATCTTTCCCTTGACAACTGATCTTTATTTCATATGTAACGTATTCTCTGAACAGATTATTAGTATTTCATAAATGACGCGAGGGAAGATGTGTTTAATATCGAACAAACTGAGTTTTTTAACGTTCGTAATTTCATTTTTTTAATGGTTGGGCTATGGTTTAATAGCCAAAGTCATTCACGCAAATCCTAATAATTTGAATCTTGATTGGTACTTTCGGAGTAGGCTACGTAAATTGGCATTTTGGCCTCACAGACAGAAAGAAATTGAGATAAGACTAGTTTCAACTTTATTAGGCTATGAAACGTCAAATAACTAAAAACGTAACGATTATAAGCAATGTACAGATAAAACTGTAATTGTATTTATATATATATATATATATATATATATATCCATCCAAATTAGTATGGGTTAGTGAAAACTATATGTACCCCTCACAACAAACGATAGTCAAATCTATGTACAATTCATGTAAATAAAGAAATGACTTAGTTAAAATAATTTTCAATACCACATTCACACATCTAAAGCATGAAATTTTTCTTTAGCATGATGAGAGTTACTTTATTCCATAACAAAGCAAGACAAATTTACGAAGCTTAAACAACATAATTTGGTAAGATTCTTGTGCTGTATTTAATAGTTAGAAGTTTTTTTTTCTAACTTGGCCAGTAAAAGAGATTGCCAAAGGCATATCACTAAACAAGAAGTAGTACAAGAAAGTGCTTTTATCCGAAACCCAAGGTGGATTTAACGTGTGTAGTGTCACTGTTGGAAATATATTAAACATTTCCCGCACTTTGTGTTACTGTGCTTCAGTGTAAGATTATAAAACGTGAATAAAGTCTTGAATAATAACTGACATGCCCACAGAGTCACCACAATTATTCCAGGTGTTCTTATTTTTTTACTTAGCCTATTTTGTATTCTTGAACTTTATTTAAGGTGCAATACTTAAGTAGTTTGATTTAAATTGTTATTAAAGATGCACATAATGTGTTGTTTTAATATTGGGTGAATTGTGGTTTTGTATCTTTCGTGTTTTTTGTTAAAGAGCGCAAGACTTTTCCCCCTAGCCCTGTGATAAAATTCGGTAACCCATAATGAATTTTGGCTTTGTGATAAAGCCCGGTAGTTCCTTGAAGCTTTAGGTCCACCAACGTATAAAAATTAGCTCCCTCAGGTAAAGAAAACTGACTGTGTAGTGGAAAAATTCTTTCACCTGATTCCATACGAAAATTAATTAATAAAACAATATTTATAGTCACCTCAACATTCGTCATTACATTTAAGGCGTCCCTTATGTTTGGCATAACGTCGCATAACGGTTTCTACAACTTTTAGAGCGACCCTATTCTTACATCTATATAACAAATTAAGTCAAGCACATTGGTACATAGAAATAATCCAGCCATCGATATTTCTAAGGTATTAAAAAACCTTTTTCTGAATCATTTTCAGGGAAGAAATTTTATTATACACTAGCAGAGTACCCGACCTTCGTACGGGGTTGGCGTATAAGTATAAAATGCATTTTGCAGTTATACTCGTGTTTTGAGTTTGCAATGGGAGACGACGCGTTTTAAGAAAATTGTATTTACAGTATATTATAATTTACGGTATACTACTATTTATAGTACATCTACCATAGCCATAATGTTCTATCACTGCACATAAATAATAGAAAGAAAAAAGTTCTCACAGCTTTTTGTTACTGCTTGGATTTAAATTAGCTGTTGTCATAAGTGAAAAAAGTAATTAGTAGTGCTGCACCTTGTTGGTAAACCTTATAAACTTTTAATGCTATTGAATATCATAGAACCAACTTGTGTAGTTAAAAAAGCTGGAAAATTTCTTAAATTCCTTTTAAATACGAATACTCATAATGTTAACATGGGAAACTCTATAGACACTGGGGCGGAGCCCGAAAGGATTTTTGAGATAAGAATATGTCTACATGTTAATCGGGAATCTGAGCTATCATCATACCAAATTTCAACCCAATCCGACCATTAGTTATTGAGTTAACCCGTGATTGAACTTCAAGAAACAAACATACAATAAAAAACCAATAACCGAATTGGCCTTTTGATTTGTTAATCGCCATGGCGAATGCAAGACGAATTGGAATGAGAACGTCCTTAGCTTTGATTTTTTTACCACCAATCGAGTCCCATTGCACAGTTTTAATTGGTTTCGACTACGTAGCATGATTACTACTGAGCCAACCAGTTTTAAATTGTGCATTGGTAAGCCAGGCATGTCTAATGAGTTCTAAAGTTCAGTTGAAAAGTTAGTGGCTTCGTCGTCGTTTGTTACACAGTCAAAAGATTTAAATGAATGCAGATATTTTTTTAGGTTCCCAAAGACCAAATACACCGTTTATCCAATGACACGATTTTGGCAACATTTGAAACAAACATGTAAACCTACGTTTTTTCGAAGGAGTTTGCGAACTAGCATGGACTAAAAAAGTAAAAAAACCAATATCTCTTGATACACTACTAATGGTCTCCCTCCCTCGCACCCTTTTCCCCGTCGTAGATACATGTGTCTGCAATGTTCCACCCTTGAAATATTAGCAGAGACCTGCCAACCCTTTGTAAGGTGGCAGTAATACCTAGTGTCCGCTTTTGCCCTCTTTAATGATCTGTCCCCAATATTCCGTGTCCGCTTTTGCCCGGAAAGATGCGAGGGAGGGAGTCCACGGGTATTTACAGGTCAAAATCTTTACTCTGTTCTACGAGTATTTATAGATAGACTATTCCTATATTATAGACTATTTCTACTATTCCTATACGCGTTACGTTTGTGCGTACAATGTTTTTAAAAATTACTCCAAGGATTTCAAAAATTGAATTAATAGCCTTCAACAAATGTTAATTATCATGAATATTTTATATTTATATTGTTTGTAGAACTCTACTGTTAATATTCATATTTCAAATATAGATCGATCGTCAGTAAAAAAAATGTAATCAAAAGAGGAATTAAGACTGGTCATCACTAAGAAAACTTGGCTTTCTTTTTTTATTAAATATGGTAAAACTGAAAACAAAAATTACGAAAACATGAATATGCCTATACTGTATGTTAATCGAAGCATAGAAGAATCGAACGAATCAAAAATCATTAAAATCAGCCCAGCCGTTCTTCAGTTATACGTGCTCTAACTAACACGACTCTGTTTTAGTTTTATATATTTATATTCAGTTATATTAATTAAGTATTTTTAAATTAATTATATAATATTATTACCAACCTTTTTAAATAAAATTATAATTAGGCTTTAAATTATGCTGTAAATTATAACTATCAATTCTTTTAATAAATTACTTCGCTGTATGTGCTTAAAAATCAATGTTTTCCACAATTGTCTCTGAGAGATTTTAACTCTTGGTGGGAAGGAACTGGTCGTGAAGGAAATCCATGTGAATCTTTAGAAGTGCGAAAATGAACTGCAGTTTCAGTTAGGTTGTTGCTTTGGCATTAAAACAACTTAGGTTCATAAGCAATATTTCCATTACAGCAATATTTTCATTACAGAGTCCTTGATTCTAAAATATTGATAAGGACTGTTGTGTGACGGCTAATATGTCTAGAAGTCCAGCTACCCGACCAAACTTTGGTTTACTACTTAGTAAATGCGTGCAAATTTCCTTACAGCAGGTTTCCAAAGTATAATGACTGTTACTTACCAGTGTCAGTATCTATTTTGAACAAGGACCGCATGAGCTCCGTAGTTATATAGTACGAGATCTTGCCATGCAGCCCGCTGTCTTGATCAGTCGCAATCACTGTAGTTACGTATGTGCCTGCTGGTTGGTTCTCTCCCACGGAGGCTTCTACCTGATTGGCCGAGAAGACGGGTGCGTGCTGATTGGTCAAGAGGATATTAATTGAGACCTTGCAGAACCTTGTGTGAACCCCGTCTGTGACTGAGACGTTTAGAACGTGTGGTGGCTCCGGACGTGCAAGATGCAAGATGTTGAACACTGATATCATTCCTGTAAATAAAGTTAGTTTTAACAACTCGTAAAATATAAGAGATCCTTTCTACTCCATTGAGGAATATTATAAAGCAGATACCAAAAATATATAAGGCCTAGCTCGGTAAAGACCTGCCGCCAAACACACAACCCAAAATATGTAAATAGTGTACAGTTTTTAAAAGTTTATATTTGTTGTACAGTCCTAAATATTAGTTTTAAAAGTATTACTGACGCCATCTATCCAGTGTCACTGGTCAAAGATGAAGGAAAGAAGTATGAAGTAAGTAAGTAAGTAAGTATGTGTCTCATCTGAATCCTTACCAAGCGGTTTGGATCTCAAATGAAATTTTAAGGAGAGTATATACAGACTTGTAAAGTGTTTATTGTATATTTTAGATTGTAAAACGATCTTTAGTCACATGCAAATGATAATGTTTTCAGACACAACTGACTTTGCTGTTTTTATTTTCATATAAAAGTACCAACCTGTCAAAGGGTTTATACTGAAGGTGTGGTGTTCGTTGCCGGCCACGATGACGTAAGACAAAGGCCCGATGTCAGGGTCCTTGGCGTGTACGACAGTCACCATCTGCCCAGCGACCGCCTCCGCTGACAGACGGCAGCTGTAGGTCGGCCGCTCAAACTTGGGAGGGTTATCGTTTACGTCTAGAACTGAAAAAGCCCAAAAAACTTGGTTATTAAAAAACTACATTTTTTAAACTTAAAGGTCTAAAATTATGATATTAAAGCTTCGGAATGGTTTTGTAGGTACCTGATCATCTTGCTAGTTGGAACGAAAAAATTCTGCAAATACTTGGCCTTAATTCAGTACCTTAATCTAATAAGTTTTAAACATACGCAACTTTGCACATTATTACATCCTTACACTTAATAAGTAGATTTTTTTTACTATCAAATCCGGTAAGTGGCAGTTTGCTGAAGGTAAAAGTAAAATTTGTGTGTAGACCATAAACAATTAATTTATGTAAAGCAAATATCTTAATTTTGTTAAATACTTAATATGCTAGCTAAAAGACTACGGTTTGTACCGTTCCTCTCAAAACGTAAATAATGTATATGGAAAAAAATGTAAACACATTTCAAGCAAATTTAAGAAAAATGCGTTCTAATTCCAAGCATAACACTAAGCATAGATCTATTTATATCCTATATAGTTAGAAACATCGTATCGTAAACTAAAAAATATATTTATCACAAACCAATAATCTATTTCAATTCAAAATCTAATATTCATAATAAAATAGATGCCAAAAATATGAATTTATATGTATAACAAGTTTACCATTAGAAATAAATATTATTAAGGATAAAAATAAGAAGCAAGTAAAAACAAATGTCATATCAATATGCTGACCGTGAAGGGATAAGATGGCTGAAGAAGACAGCTTAGGCAGACCTCCGTCTGTAGCCGTCAGGACCAATTGAAACGTGGAATTGAGTTCTCGGTCGAGTGTTTGTGACAGATATACAGATCCGTCCTGCGAGTCGACACTGACTACACCGTGTAGAGGTAGAGATGCCACAGAGTACTGGATCGAACCTCTCACTCCTATACAACAAATACAAAACATACAGATACACCTCGTGTGTAAATACTGACTACACCGTGTAGAGGTAGAGGTGCCACAGAGTACTGGATCGCACCTCTCACTCCTATACAACACATACAGATACATCTCGTGTGTAAATACTGACTACACCGTGTAGAGGTGGAGGTGCCACAGAGTACTGGATCGCACCTCTCACTCCTATACAACACATACAGATACATCTCGTGTGTAAATACTGACTACACCGTGTAGAGGTGGAGGTGCCACAGAGTACTGGATCGCACCTCTCACTCCTATACAACACATACAGATACATCTCGTGTGTAAATACTGACTACACCGTGTAGAGGTGGACGTGCCACAGAGTACTGGACCTAATCAGGTCACTCCTATACAACAAATACAAAACATACAGATACATCTCGTGTGTCAATACTGACTACAGCGTGTAGAGGTGGAGGTGTCTCAGAGTACTGAACCGCACCTCTCACTCATATACAACAAATAAGTTACAGATACATCTCATGTGTGAACACCGACCACACATTGTAGAGGGGGAGGTGCCACAGAGTACTGGACCGCACCTTTCACTCCTATACAACACATACAAAACATACAGATACATCTCGTGTGTAAACACTGACTACACCGTGTAGAGGTGGAGGTGCCACAGAGTACTGGACCGCACCTCTCACTCCTATACAACACATACGAAACATACAGATACATCTCGTGTGTCAACACTGACTACACCGTGTAGAGGTGGACGTGCCACAGAGTACTGGACCGCACCACTCGCTCCTATACAACACATACAAAACATACAGATACATCCATGTGTCAACACTAACTACACCGTGTAGAGGTGGAGGTGCCACAGAGTACTGGACCGCACCTTTCACTCCTATACAACACATACAAAACATACAGATACATCTCGTGTGTAAACACTGACTACACCGTGTAGAGGTGGACGTGCCACAGAGTACTGGACCGCACCTCTCACTCCTATACAACACATACGAAACATACAGATACATCTCGTGTGTCAATACTGACTACACATTGTAGAGGTGGACGTGCCACAGAGTACTGGATCGCACCTCTCACTCCTATACAACAAATAAGTTACAGATACATCTCGTGTGTGAACACCGACCACACATTGTAGAGGGGGAGGTGCCACAGAGTACTGGATCGCACCTCTCACACCTATACAACAAATAAGTTACAGATACATCTCGTGTGTGAACACTGACCACACATTGTAGAGGGGGAGGTGCCACAGAGTACTGTACCGCACCTCTCACTCCTATACAACAAATAAGTTACAGATACATCTCGTGTGTGAACACTGACCACACATTGTAGAGGGGGAGGTGCCACAGAGTACTGTACCGCACCTCTCACTCCTATACAACAAATAAGTTACAGATACATCTCGTGTGTGAACACTGACCACACATTGTAGAGGGGGAGGTGCCACAGAGTACTGTACCGCACCTCTCACTCCTATACAACAAATAAGTTACAGATACATCTCGTGTGTGAACACTGACCACACATTGTAGAGGGGGAGGTGCCACAGAGTACTGTACCGCACCTCTCACTCCTGTACAACACATACAAAAATAAATACTTCTTCAACTTGTGTCAATATAAAGAATTTTTAGTGCTAAATCAAGTACGTGACAACATTCAAAATAAATAACGTTTATCCACTATTTTAAAGTAATAAATAGTGTTTTGCAATTAGTGTTATGAACAATTAAAAATCGTATTTAGGTCAATATAATGAGGTCAAATTAAACGAAAAAATCCATGATCACAAGGGCCTGAAGAGTGGAACTTTGCCAGAAAATATATACTTTGCCTTAGTAAGTTATATACGGCTGTAGAGGCAAGCTTTTATAATATGAATAGTAGTACTAAGTACCTAGTTTTATTGCCTGTTAAAGTTACATTGATTAGAGCTCATTTCCAACTTTGTTAACAAATCTAAGATTAAATAACTTTTGAAGAACAATTAAATTTTCAATCTTAATAACTCTGCTTCCTACATTGTTTTGCAATATTCGAAAAATATAACATTGGTTTTTAATGAATCTTTACAGGCCTATACGATGTTTAAAATATAAATGTAAAATGATACAATAGGCAATTATACAATCAAATATACAAATATACAATTAAACTACGTACAAAAGGTATCGTTTCTAAACAAATTGGTTGTTGCTAAGTCAATAACATAATTTAGATGATAAATATGGAAGTGACGTGAATGCAGAATTTGAGCCGGTTTGAGCTACATCCGAGACAGCAGTAGCCTACACGAATCACATATGTCAATTCTGAACGTAAGAACCTGTTTTGAAAACATGCTTAGCTTGTATGTTGCCATTCTAGCATTTTATCCATACTATAATATTCATCTTGTAAAGGTTTGACAGTCTTGTAAAAAAAAACGCTGAAATAGATTTTTATTTTCATGAAATTATTTATTTATTTATATCCTCGAAACATATGACATAAATACTTTATTTTGTAAGATACCTGTTTTTATATAGCTTTAAAACATGACTCGGTACTTTGAATCTGCTTCTATAATCAAGACAGATTTATTCAAAAGGGAATTTTTCCCTAAATGAATGGATTCAACAATAGAATCTAGATAACATCTTGTCTCGGAATAGGCCACATTCCAGAACAGTAAAAATATATGATAACAAGATTTTTCGTACAAAATTTGGTCTGAGAACTCAAGCATAGAACAATTAGAAAATATAAACAATTTCAGAATTTAGATTTTTTTAACTTCTAAATATCTTGAATAAATAGACACGTTAAGCTGTTGGTTTATATATTGACTAAGTTTTCTAATCAACGCTTTATTTCTTTTAGAATGATTGTATGTAAAGAGAATGCCTATCTTCATCGATTCCGCTCTTTATATCTTTTAAACAACATTAATTAATTTCACGCAGCTTTCTCTAAACCAAAGCTACGTACAGCTATAATATAGCCAGGCAATAGCAGAGACTTTGAATAGTGCGAGTAAACCATTGTTAAATCTGAGGCTGGGATTATGAGTATTCATGATGGTGTCGTTGAAATTGCACTTCTATCTATTAAATGTTTCTCTTCTATTTTATGACAAATTTTACAAAGTTATTTGTAGTTGTTATCTTGCAAGAGCACAAGGTATTTTATGGCAAAACTAAAGATAAAACCAAGTGCAAATGGTGAACAAAAAGAAACCGCCCTCAATATAAACCGATGGGACAACCCTTAAAACTACCTCCACCTGTACCATATGGATGATAAATTTGTAAGTGATTATGTTTAGTGTTGTAATTTTTTATCAGCCTACACAAACACACAACATATAAGTATTAAATAGTCACCTGTGTCATTGTCGAAGGCCTCGATCCTGCCGATGAGTGTTCCAGGAGCAATGGACTCCAGCAAAGAGACGTTATAGACAGACTCCAGGAAGGTAGGGACACAGTCGTTGACGTCCGTCAGCACTACGGTGACAAGGGTGTCAGCTGTCGCACCACTTAGACTGTCAGTGGCTCGGACACGTATCTCCAGCAGCGGTGACGTCTCGTAGTCCAGCACGTCTTCAGTGAACAACGCGCCTGGACAGGATTGGTAGACAATATTGAACAGCTTGGAAAATATTGACCTTATAGTAGATATCCCTCCTCCATGAGCTGTAACTGATTTGTTATCAACGCGCAGGGAAGAACAGTCCAAAATTCTATTTTCTCCATTATTGGTTATTTTTCACTCGAGTACTTGAAGTACTTTGATTACTTTTTGACCGGGGAATACAAGCTCTGTCCAAAGCCAAAGTTTCATTCTTAAGTTTTCTTTCAGAGTTTTATACATTACTGCCTCAGCATGGTTGTCAATTGTCAGAAACGGAATTTGTTAAAACTGTAAGAATGGGTTTAAGGATGAAGTTAAGGATTACATACAACCTTAATTTCTTAAATATTTTTCTATCGAGGGATGAAAGGATTTTCAATGTCAAATATGTCAACACCATAGGGAAATTCATTTTTGATCAGAATACATCTTTTTCAGAGCTAACCCTAAGCAATATGTATCCCAATTGTGGTATCGGTGTTAGTAAAACTCTTGCCATTTTTTACGGTATGGTAAACGTAGATGTTATTGACACAGAACTAGCGGAATGCGGTAATAATCGTGAGGAGTTTAGGAAGCAGACGAACTATTGGTTTTACTCTGAGGAAGAAAATTCCCTCTTCAATTAATGAGCTGTATTTGGATCAGGTAATCTCTAACATCCATCCCATATTTATGTTGGAACGCATAAAATGAATCAGTATTGTGCTCTGGCAACTTTAATGTATTACACCCACAAGATTGTTGTTACTCCCATCCTTCAAGGAGACTTCGAGTTCAAAATTAAATGGTTATCGACCCTAACCGGACAAGAAGGAGCTATAGTCCAAAGGCAGGAAACAGTGAAACAACTAAAAACTAAAGAATTGTATGATCAAATGAATCAGCAAAGAGATACCTCAATCAAGGGCAGCCACGCGGACTGTTTCTTTAGGTGCTATCAACCTTATTTCGCTTCTTCAACCGACGTGCATCAAATTGAACTAATGTATACTGCTGATCCAGTAAAAAGTTAGTTGAGCAACTACAAAAAATAAACCCAACTAAAAATGAACGATGCACATTCTAACTTGAAAAACTTAACTCCAGCCAATATCCTAAGAAGATTATCATCAATGAGAAAATATGAGTGTCGGTACGAATAGGAAAATACCATACAATTGATTTCTATATAGCTTTTTTGAATTTTGATATAATTTGTAATGTATTTTTTGTAGAGCTAATTATGGATATGAAGCTACCAGGTCTCAATAATATGAATAATAGTATACAGTATAACTGTTACCTTAATAAAATATTTCGAATTAAAAATATTTTATTGTCTATATAAATTTTAAGTAGAGTTCCATTTTTTAGATGTGTTGAAATAATCTTAAAAATTATTTCGATAGTAAAGAAGAATACATTTCACATCCATACTAAGTTGTTATATGCCATGTTTTAGTCACCGATATTTAAGTGAGTCGTAGTATTTAAGTGCTTCGTAGAAACTACTTAAAGCAACATCATTAAGATCTACACCAACATTCGTAGATTCCAACTTGCAGTTTATTCAGTATTAAATTAATGGTGAACTTAAGTAATTTTTCACGCGTTTTGAACTTTAAATTTTAACTTAAATGAGCCTAAACATCTCGTAATACTCCCTACCCCATTTAAGCTCTTTTTATAAAACCTTTATGTTGATATTGAAGAAACGAGTCGTGAAACAGCCTTTCCTTTCCAGTTCTTGAGTTAAAAGTTAAAACTTTTAATTTTTCTCAGATATGAATTAACTTTTTATTTCATATTACTTAACTAGTCTCAAATTTTGTAACCATGATTTTGTTTTGGATATGAAAAATTGATAATGATCAAGTTATAAGAAGTCACTTAGTGTACTATAATTTTAAACCAAGTTCCTGATAGCATTCTACAATATAGATTTTTTAATTTTTACCAGTCTAAATTATTAATTCTCTATAAGAAGGATTGTTAACACTATATTAAAACTACCGGATCCATCTGCCCATTCTTTCAACAGTTCCAGAGCTTCAAAAAATTAATATTTATCTTGTTTTCAAATATTAGGTTTTATCCGTCAGCCAAATCGATATACCAATATATTAAGAACAATATATTAAGAGGCTCATTCCAAAAGTTATGAAGCAAAAAGTTCTTCTAAAGTTTTCAAGGGAGTTCTTTGAAGCCCAAAAACAATCTCAGTGACTGAATCTAAAAGCAGGGTGATCAAATTTTACTTTCCTTCGGGGAAAAGAAATTTCCAATGAAGTATTATTCAATTTATTTATTTGTTCCGCTAATACCATTCATACAGTCTGTATCTATCACCACTCTAACATCTTATTATTTATTATTGGTACTAGAGAAGTACTATTGTAACTCAAGCTCCACTCAAGTTACAAGGTTTACCAAAAGCTTAGCACAGTTTTCACATTAACACTTGATATTTTATCGTTTTTCAACAGTGATTCGTTTGAGTCTCTTTACAGAAACTTGATAAAATTTAGAATAGCAAATTACGTGGTTTTACTAAGTATACCAGAAACTGTGAACGAAGGCACGTAATTATTTTAGTTGAGGTTTGATACCTCAAGACGCAGAAGCTATGACGAAAACAAGATTGTGCAGGATTGTGTTTAAGTAGCTTAATTATCATGAGTAATTGGCATCAAAACAGGAGAATCGGAGTTTTTCTTAGCACGTTTTAAACATAATGCTTGACCCATTAGCAATAAGCCTTTTCCAAATTAATCTTTTTTAACATGCTATGTATGACCATGAACGAATTCTAAGAGCTTTTTTGGTTTATTTGTTTTCTTCATAAAAAAAATATGGACAATATTATGTCAAATGAAGATATAGAGGAAAAGGGAGCTTCCGATGCTTTTCATACTTAAATTTTTTTTTATATTTTACTTTAGTGAATTATTTGAAAATCAGAGCTATATGTCTCTTAGTAAAGTTAACTTTTCATTGTTTATTTTAAAACTAACAAATATCTGATAAAAACGCTTGTAAAAATAATGTTAACCTCACTTCTCACCAATGATTGGAAAATATCTGTACACTTTTTATACAGTAACGGTTTTCTCTGTAACCTCTCTTTTTCAGGGGTTCTACTTAACCAATTTTCGTCATTGAGTTGCCATTTTAAAGCATATGATCGAGCACACCTGCGAATTGTAACGGAAATGCGCCCTTTTGCGTTTCAATTATCGTGGAGTTCCTGAATTAAGTTTTTACCCCTGTTAAAAAGATTTTTTTCATTGGTCCCCTCGTAATAATATTTTTCATTCATTTAAATTCTTAAATAATGGCAATTTATTTTATTTTTTTTAAATTAAGGTAACTGCTCAGGAATTTTGTTTTAAAACTCAGGTTTATGTTAAAAATAGCTATACATTTTAAAGGATTTAGTTTAAATGTTGATTCTCAGTAAGAAACAGATTTTCACTGCTGGAACTGGGTCTCAAAACCTTTTTAGAAAGGGTTACAATGAGCTCGTAAGCTTAATTCTTTTGTAACTAAACTCATATTTCCTAATTAATTGTGTTCGTTGGAATGACACCACCAAAACTTGCCGAGCTTAGGTTTTATAGGCAACAGTGAAATTTCTTTAGGGATATTAGTTTTTATAATATGAGAATCATATTTTAATTTGATTGTGTAAACTTTATGACTTGTTTGTCATTTCACTTCCATTTGATGTATCACCTGTGTTGAACGAAAATATTTTTTTAAATTTGAGACTGAATAATGAGGGTAATAATAATGGATTTAAAACTGGGATAAAGCACTAAATGAAAATTCTATGCTATATTACTTTGCCATATACAAAAACTTGCTCCAACGATGATGTGCTTAAGCTCCACGCTTAGTCTCCTAACTTAGAGCTTAGTGAAGATCTTCTTGTTATCCCGGAGCGTTGGAGTTTAGTTTAGTGAATTCCTGATCAGAGCCGTAACAGTACAATCTGTTAACTCTGTGGGTAAAAAACTCTTTTTTAAAATCTTAGTCTGCAATGAAACACATTCTCTCTAGAATAACCAATAATTATTGATTTATTTATTTATTTATTTATTTTACCTTCCAATGGTCAAGAACCAATTTACAATGTGTTTTATAGATGACTTAATCTAACTTAAACATATACATACAAAATAATTTTTGGCAATGACATGAAGTAGTAAATACAACTTGATTTGAGCAGTATCGAAATAGACGTACACAAAGCAGAAACAACCAATGAACAAGACAACAAATAAGAATAGTAGTGAAAAAATAAATGAACGACAAACAATAGATATATATGAGTTTCAACAATAACAATAAATATATGAGTTTTAAAATAACAATAATATATGAATTTCAACAATAACAGTAAATATAATTTCAACAATACAAAGAAAACAAGATTTGTAAGAAGAGAGAAACATTCATTGGTATGAAACAAATAAGATAAGAGTAATTTTGGGTGGTAACTATAATGAGCGGTGGAAGTCAGCCAGTAAACCCCCCCCCCCCCCGGATACCCTCCGGATTGTTCCGGATTGTTTTTTGGCTGTCTGGTGGATGTCGAAAGTGGCACAGAAGACATTCCCATTCCGAAGCATCCTTGCAAGGGGTCCATGGTACAGGTATCCACGTGCATAGTGCCTCCTTCCGAATAGGTCCTGGGATCTTGTACCAGATGGAACACGAATGTCCACTTCAGACAGCAAGGCAGGACAATCAATCAACCCGGTTACGAGCTTGGAGAGGAAGACCATATCAGATGCACAGCGCCTCGCCCGAAGATCCTGGAGATTTAGGTTTTCCTGCATTTGAGCCACAGGCACATCCCGATACTGTAGACCCTGGCGAACTCCAACCAATCTCAAAAACTTCCTCTGGATGCTCTCAAGCTGGCTTATCTGGCCAATTAAATGAGGAGACCAAACTGGGCAGGCATATTCGAGCAGCTGGCGAACAAGAGAGCAGAACGGAGTCCTAAGCGCCCAGGTGTTGCTCAGTCCACGGGTCGATCGAAAGAGAAATCCCAGAAGCCTTAGCCTTTGATAACTTTGGACATTTCAATATTACATCAAAGAAGAGTATTGTGTTTTATGTGTTGTGTGTTCTAAAATGTTCTGAAATCCGAATTGAACCTCTAAACAAGTAACCAATGTGGCTTCGTAATACAATGAGATTGGTTGTTATATTTAGCGAAACTCTAAAGCGATATACCGCGATTCAAGCCACATGGGCGGGCTTGATTACTTTTCAAGTTTTGGTTTTTTACTAAATTTGTTCTGTGTAGCTTTTTTACCTAATTGAAAAATTAAAAATGACCGTTCTACTGACAATTGAGTTGTTTGTAAAGCAATCTCTTAATCTTCCATAAATATCTAATCCATAATATCAGTTAATCTTCCATAAATATCATCACTGCCAATTTTTATTGAAATATGTTTAAGGATTATAAACAGATATAAAAAAAATACAAAACTACACATATCTATCACTACTAAAATATAATAAAACTAACAAAAGTAACTGATGCCTTATTGTGATAGTAGAATAATACAGGGCGTTTATAAAAGAATCATCAGGTTTTAAAACATTTTATTGACGTTAATGTTTAACAAATATGGCTATAAAATATATCAACAGAAAGAAGAACTCTTAAATTTTTCTAAGATACCCCTATAAGTGCTCAATGTGCCGTCCATTAGCCGTGGAGCAAGTTTCCAATTTATGTTTAAATCGTCCCATACACCGGCTAGCATCGCAAGGTTCATTGAATCTACAGCATTGTGAATTCGTCCATGGAGCTCTTGAAGTGTTTGAGGCATTGTCATTATAAAAACGTTGTAAAAAATCACACAACGAAAGATCAGAAGATCTACGGGGCCATTTGAGAAGGGTCAAGTCATTATCGTTAAATCTGGCAATCCACCTCAGTTTCTAAGAGAACTTTTGCGTGACCACTGCTTTTACATTTTAATACACCTCCAGAGTTCAACTGGCGATACCACCTTAAAATGCTTTAGTGTGTTTTTTAAAATGACTCCAAAACTCACGCTGGACGGTTATTAAATATGCACTTAATGAAAAACACTTTGTCATACCGTAATGAAAAACACAAATTTTTGTTCTTGAGTTGTAATTATTTTGCAAACATGCAAACACGTCCAATAAAAAAACCAAGACTGATTATTGAACAGCTGATTATAAAACTTGGAAACATGCTTTTTAAGCACATGTTTCTAATATTAATGTGAGACAAGAATTGGGCGAGGTACATGCCATTAAAACCTGATGATTCTTTTATAAACGCCCTGTATTTATAATTATAATAGGTTTTACGACAACTATTAAGAAGTTCTCCCCTTGAAATCCAACATTTAATGTTTTTAGCATTAATACCATCCAGTCTATAAAATGCAAATAGAGATGAACTAATAACGCAAAGAAATGTTGTTTACCACGGTCGTTTGTGTTCAGTCAAAGTAATAACGTTGGCTACAGCATTATCATACTAACATCAGCTACTTTTATAGTATTACAACTAGTTTCAATTGACTATTCTATATTCATACACATGCTATGTTCTGGTAAAGATTTCTAAAAAAATATCTTGAGAGTATAAAATAAAAATTTTACTATCTAAGTACTTTATCATAAGATTATTAGGTTAAGGAAAAATGTACATTGGTAAAAAAGATTAATATGGTGGTTTTGCTATGTGGTAGTAGGAGTAATGGGCAGTGGGCACCTACCAGCCGTCACATCGATGGAGAAGCGTAGGTCGTTGTCGAGGATCGCGTATGTAACAGGATGGTCAAACGGCGCCTCGGCAACCACTCGCACAGGCAGGAGAGAGTGAGGAGGTAAGGACTCTGGCACAGTCACTGTATATAGCTGCCGTTCAAACCTAGGGGAGCTCTCCGCCACCACCTTCACCACCAGCGTAGTCTCCGTGGAGCACGGCGTCACCCCTGTCAATGGAAAGCACATGTATACTCCATTCTACTCCCACCATACTTGTGGGAATCGTACTATTGCTAGAAAACATTGCTGGAAAAATAATGTTTTCTGATTGCAGGTTGCTTCAACTGTCCTAGTTGCTCTGGTTAACGCTCTCATTCGTGTAACTTTTGATTTGTGTACATTGGTATTTCAACCTTATTTTTTGGGTTTTGACTTGATATCGGCTAGTTAAACATGTTTGTCAGTGAAAATAAAAAAAAAATAAAACCATAAACTTAAAGGGAACATTTCACGGGTTCTGATGTATTTAGGACAGCATTCCTACATGGCTCATAGGCGCTTCTTGCTGGGCGGTTAACGTGGAATGGTGTATAGTAACCGATAAGTAATAATTATATTAATTATTATTCGTAGTAAATAATATTTTCCTCCCCTTATGAAACACAACATTCTTAAATCATTCTTATTGCTAAAGTAACACGATAAAAAATTGATTAGAAGTACCATTAAGCTTTATTTCCACCAGTGACATATAAATCTGTCTTATGAATAGTATAACTCTACTTGAAGAGCTCTACCTCTTGTAGACCACTCATTTGTAAAATAATATTTAATTAGTGCCTAATTTTTCTTACTTTTCATGAACTTACAAAAGCTAATAAAGGAAAATAATTTTTGTCATGTTCTGTTTAGGCTACATAATTCAAACACCATAAGCCTTTAGGGTCCATCATTGTACACTATGTATCACGACAAAGGAGGTTAACTAATTCGTGTTTTACTGATGGTTTCAGGGCTTGGTGTTATGTCAGGGAGTTCGTTCACATGTTGTGAACGAAGGAGAGTAAAAAGTGGATGAAAACATTATTATTATATTAACATACGTTTTCATGCTGTTAATATCCAGTTTCCATTAAAACTTTCAAGTTTTATTTCTTCAAGCATACCATTTAATACAAAATTTCTAAACCATTCTTTGAGTTATTGCTTGATCAAAATAGTTTATATTATAACCTAAATCTATTTATCCATTATAAATTGTTTGGTTTGAAATACGTTTTATACCTCTTGAATCATTGTCATTCAGTACAAATCTACTTTTATGCTTTAATACTTTTGTTAGGATAATAAATACTAGGCATTTTAAATAAATTTATGATAAACACTGCTAGCAATCTTCAGGTTGGTTATGGACCCAATCAATCTTATAAAATGTATAATATTGTCATGTTTGTTAAAGCTCCCGTAAAGCACAAACCGCTTATAAGACCACCTGTGTCGAAAGTAATAAGATTTGGCTTTGCCATGTCGTACTTTTTACCACTTCAAGATAATGTTATTAAAGTCAAATAATTTTTTGTTTGGCCACGGAAACATGCAAAAAATTGGTGGATATGAAATAAAATAAAATGAAATACACACATTTTGTATTTTTTATTACCAATGGGAAATTTAGGGCTATATATCTCTTCCTTACACATATCTTGCCTCAGACTCACATATAACACGTTGAAAATAACCTAATATTTAAAACATAGATTTGACAATTAATCAAGTGGAGTTAAAAGTTTTGTGGCAAAAGGTAGAGTTTTGTTCAAACATGTCCAGTGAGTGAGAGCAATACATTAAATATCTTTCTGTGATTGTTCTTTTCAAAGCAAGAGCTCAGTTGCATGATTCTCGAAGGCATTTTACTAAGCCATAGTAAGGAATAGAATTGCTGCTCGCTGTGATTGGATAGACAACTGACGTACGAAGTTGAGAATGACCAATTACAATCGGTCTTTTCATGCAGTATTTGTCCATATTTATCAGTCCGCCCGGAAATTTATTTGGTTGTTCTAACACAACAATTTTTGACGGAAGGGATAGTGCTGAGAATGTGGACCTAACTTTAAAACACTCTCTTGATGAAGCATCCACCTGGTTCCGGACTAATTTTATTTTTTTAATCAGGAAAAAAACTATTTGAATTGTTTTCAGCCTCTGAAACATTGAGCATGAAGTGAGGAGTGTTAAGCTCTTAGTCATTCACCTAGACTGTAATCTAGATTGGAATAGTCATATTGGCTATGTTTGTAGCCAGCTGCCAAGGGTTGTTATTTACTCCGTAGGCAAAAGTGCCGTGTGCCAAACGCCTGGAAAAGGATTGCATATGAAACTTTTTCAGAGTATTATCACATATGGATTGACACTTTGGGAAGCCGCCCCTGGAGTCGAGAGTCCTACTTCTCCAAAAAAGGCAGTAGGAATTGTGACAGGAGACAGGCGCCTCGATCATTGTAAACGATTGTTTAAGGCTCAACCTCTTATAGCTGTTAAAACTTTTGATCTTTAAGTCGATCATCAAAACAAAGGAGGTAGCGGACGCTCTTGAACTGAGGAGAGACATCCACTCGTACAATTCGAGAAGAAAATTTGATGTAAATGTACCCTTTTTTAAGCTTAAGAAACAACAGTTAAGTTATGCCACTATAAGCCTTAAGCAATGTTTTCTTGTACAGTCCGTAACCTTATAAACAAACAATTCAAAAAGAGTGTGGAATGGTCAACCCATTTGTCAGTGCGGATGAATTTTTAACTTAAAGATTAAGTTAAATATGTAATTAAGTTTTTAACTGATGGTTTACTGAGTGTGCTGTTTTAGTTTTTACACTTTGAATGGTGAGATTCAGGTACTCTTTCACAAATGTTATTGTGTGGCATATATGATATATTACTTTCTTTTTTAGCAGGGTTTTAGTTGAAGAAATTGTTTTATTATATTGTACCTTGATGTAATGACGTTTTCCAAAAGACATGTATATGTGTATCTAAAGGAAATAAATGATCTTATGTTTATTGCAACGAAAAGTGATTTTAATTAAACAATACAGGGTAATCACCACGATGATGATAAAACTAAGGATGTACCTGATATTTATTTTGCTATAAATTAATTACTTGGGCATGCGTGCTATACATTAATTAATTGGGCATGCGTGAAGAAGTTTCCCTTCATGAAATTGTTTTAGCCTAAAATATTATTCATTAGAATTTCCAGAAAATTGTAATCACACAGCCAGACTATTTACACGGGCGACACATAGGACTTACCTCCATCGTATGCCGTGATGATGATGATGTACGCCTCTTGGGTGTCTTGCAGAGCTTGTTTCAGACTAATCTCCCCACTCTTACGGTCTACCTTGAACAGTTCCCCGTGGCCGCGGGTCAGCTCGTACCTCACCTCTCCGTTCTCTCCCTCGTCCAGGTCAATCGCCAGGACCTGCAATCGACAACACCCTCAAACCAAGGTTAATACAAATCTAGATCTAGTTAAACATATGTTACTGTCTTTTCGCTGCAATCAATTCACTTAAACATAAAGGTTCGTTTTTAAGATGAACACCATCAACTGATATCATGCTATCATTACCCTTTGTCCACTTCTTAACTAACGTTTTCATGTCCACGTATTAGTCTATGAATCCATGTATTCGTGTCTGTATTAGTCCATGACAAATTTTAACACTACCAAGTATGATGAGGATTAGATCATGTAAAAATCACATGGCGTTCAACAAAACAAAGAAATAAACGGACCGCTATCAGTGCTTCAAGTATTTCTAACTGTCTACCTAATTGTGTTTCTACATACTTCTAACATAATTATTATCTAAACAATCCGTTCCAAATACGGGTTTTTAGCTGTACTAACCTTGAAGAAAGCCATATGTTTGTGTGAGCCCACTGACACTGCCACTACGTAAGGTGTGTTCATGAATACTGGACAGTTGTCATTGACATCTACCACGCTGATGTTCACCAGTGTTTGGATCAGCTGTTTAGTGTCATCCGAATATTCATACTCTGCCTGAAAATAGAGTAACTGGCAATGCCTTTGTTCACATAGCCTACATTTTAGTTAATGTTATATTGGGTTTTGACTTTCATGCCGAATTCTAGACTTTCGCAACGTTAAAATCCAAATTCTACAGTTTTATTGGACACGTCATCAATTATTAATGTGTGTATAGTTTGAAAATCTATTTTAGTTCCATAGCATTTTAACAATATCTGTATAACACCAGAGAGCTTTAAAAAATTATCCAAAGTAAGAGTATTTATTCTTCCTATACTGGGTTTTTGGCTTAAATGTTACCGGAATTGGTGGAAAGATGGCTCAGTTGGTAACTCAATGGACTGTAAAATAGAGATAGTTGTGTCTTGGGATCCCAATGTCATCACTTACAATAATTTTTAGAACAGTTCTTGGACTGTACTGGCTCACATTCTAAACCTTTGAGGCCAATAAAAACGAATAAATTCTAAAAGGGATAAAAACATCCTCAAACAAATAAAAATAAGTCAAGTGTACAACAGAAATTTATTCAATTTGCATGTCTGCACACTAATGAAGCTTTATCTTAGACGTATTTTATACATAAAAAAATAACCACCATATTATAAACAATCCTAACCTGAATGTATATGGTGAAAAGATCCTTATCCTCACGGTCGAAGGGTACACCAGTTGTAACAAGTGCTCCAGAGGTAAGGCCTAAGTGGAACAGCGGGGTCGGGTTGGCCATGCGGAACCGTATATGTTGGTTGAGCTCCTCCCCCACCACGCTGACTACAGCCACAGTCACCGGCTTAGTAGAGTTCTCTGTCACATAGCCTTGGTAGACTGGATGCTGGAACTGAAGATGCGAGCTGCCGCTGTCTAGCCACTGAATGTTCACTCGTCTGTAACCATTGAGTCAAAACATGTTGCAGCAAATTCAACCAATACGTAAATACACGGTGTCAGGAAACTGGCACATAACTACTTCTATTAGTTTGTCAACATCAATTATAATGGGTAAATAGTGGAAGTAACTACGATATTGTGATAATTTTTACAGTATTGGAGGTTGTACCATTTTCTTTTTGTCAAGGACCTTAAAATACGAAAATTTAATCAAAATCTTTCGTGCCATTTATGTAAAAATCCGAATTTTGGGAGGTTTTATGAGAAAAACGGCATTAAAAATTGTAACTAAAAATAAAAGAAAATAACTGGAGATACCATAGTTCTTGAATACTAAATTTAATCAAAATCAACCACAGGGATATCACATGACGTTACACGTCAACACACACATTACTTCGAAAACAACTTTTTGGGTTCCGGTAGACGGTAGACCCAGCGGTTATTTCTGCCCAATACTAATACACGATAATCTTTACGAAATAATATTTATGCATATACTGTGTATAGGGGGAGAAAGTAAAAATATACAATTGTAAATGTAAGGGTAATATGGATACTACCACGTCACTGACAGAATCGTATTAACAAGTATTAACGTATCGGCATCACTGATGACATCCAACATCAAAGCAATTCAACGTAATAGGGTTAAGACTTTACTACTGTAGTACCTGAATAGGGGTGAAGTAGTAGCGCCTGAAGTTGGCTGTAGGAAAAGCCGAAACGTCAGTACTTAGTAATAGGTCTTAGTCTATGAAACAGTCGTACCCAGAAGACTTAGTTAATTGCGTTATTTCCAAATGCGTTTGATTGTAATAATAAAAATAAAATATATAATATGCTTTAAATATATGTAAAAAAAATATGCAAAGTTTCAAAATTCAAAAGAAAACCCATCGCGTTTTTTTTTTTACCGCCGTATGTTCTTAAGAGTGGACATTTGATTTAAGTTTGCTAATAAAACCTCTTTGGAGAAACTGTGTTATGTAATTATGTTCATATCATGTGTTATAAGTTTCATAATGTTTCAATAATGATATCAAAAGACAAATTTTTTCTCATAATTAAAGTAAAAAAAGACAGTTCGTGTAGCTAGAATAATCTACAGTTACTTATGATGTTTGGATTACAGTAATATTAAAAACGGCATGAGTAGAGAATACAGATTTCTACTTTAGGTTTTTGGAAATAATACCAAACAACTGTAGCATTCCAACATTTAAGCGGTGGTTGTTGTAATTTAGTGATTAGTTGAGCCTTGTTGCAACATGTAATCGATGTGTATTAACATTAAGCCACGTGTCAGCCAGAGAGTTAGGAGAGCCTTGTCACAAGCGTTTAGTCAATGCAAGTCTGAAGTGATACCAGAATAGTATTGTCTAGATTCAGCAAAAAATTGTAATGTAACGTTTGTTCTAGGTAAGGTATTTCTGGTTAAATGTATTTAATTGCAATTTGATCATTGAAATTTTACAGGTAAGCATCAAACTACCCCAATTATATTTAAATTGTAAATATCGCTTTTCTACTAATCGCCACGTTTGTTAATCTATATTACAACTTATAGGTGTAACAGTATCATAACAGTCACAATTTAAAATAAGATCATAAATATTCATGTGAAAAGTTACACCTGAATAAAAGACCCAAGAAACTTGATAGATTTGAAACAAAGCAAAGTAAATAATTGATGAAGTGAAGTTAAATATAATAGTTGTTTCCTCCCATAAGCCATTAAATTTTCAAAATTACGTCGAATATAATGCAGCGCGTTGCATGGAATAAACAAAACTTATTATGTTAATTTATTCAAACGAGTCAAAGTAAGTTAGGTTTAAACGAGTACACAGGTTCTACTGGTTATAATAACATCAGATAGCGCTTCTTTTAATAACAAACATTTTCGTTAAAAGTATAAACGGGTTGACAGCTTTCATTGTTTACCATATCAGGTTGCTCCCAGGCATTCATTGAAATTTTAATTTATAATTTATATTCTTGCATACATTTCATTTAAATAATTTGAACTACCTATAACTATTTTTTTGAACTCAGCCTATTATTTATTTACTATTTATTTACCTACACCAAGGTTTAAATAGGTAATTTAAAATATGAAATTTAACTATATTAATACTATATTGTGTTATTTTCGATCGCAAATAAAAAATAAATTACTAGGTAGTTAATTGGGTTGGATTTGTTTTTCATCTCCTTGACTTGAATTTAGCAAGTATCTAATTTAATGAATGACGAATCCCTTAAATATAAGAATATTACAACTAAATAAAAAATTAATAAACTACTCATGTTATGATATTATATGTTTATTCCTCGTATTATATTATGATGAACGTCAACATCCAAACACCTTTGATATGACCTTGACCTCTGGTTATTGATCTACTTGGTTTTCTTGACAGACCACGGAGTTATAGCAGAAGGTGGAGTCGTATTATGCGATAGGATTCCGGCGGTGACATAACGTTTGTCATTATTGACAAAGTCGGTCATAAGCCTCCTCTTCATCCTCTTGTTCGCTCCCGAGACAGAGATGGAAAATAAGACGTTGCCCAGTTGCTTTTTACAGATTATTTATAGTTTTATGCCTAATTAGAAATAATGTTTAACGCATTATCTTTAACTACCAATTTGAATACAACATATTAAAGCTACTCGTAAAAAAAATAATATACCTTTTGTAAATCACAAAAAGCTGGTTATAATATCTAATAGCGATTCTTGTAATGACAACAATTTTCGTTGAAAGTGTAATCTTCATTCTTAATGGAGAACCATTAACGTTGGTTTCAATAAAATTTAAAATAAAAATATCTCCAATATTTCATTTGTTTATAAGGCAATGGGCATCATCAGACACATTACAAATACTGAAAGTTATTTTTATAATAATAAATCTTTAAACAAATTTAACACATAGGTAGTAAAATATTAAAATTTGTTCTGTCATGTATATGTAAGAAAAATTATAAAAAAAAAAATATATTAAAAATAATAAAATGTGAAGTACATAGGTTTAATATATAACTTTTAAATGTGGAAATTAGTAATGTTAAATTTTGAATCGGTCCATTACAATTATGTATTAGACTGTCCATTTATTAATATATAATAATCTCACGCATTTGGTTCGTTAGGTTTGGTTACATTCTTCAGTAATTTTAAATTTTAAATTGAAATTATGTGGCATGTTTCTAAACAATGTTTCGCTATTTTTCAGGTCTGTTGTGTGTTATGTGGAAAGCGTACTTCTTATTCAGCCTACAGAATGGCACATTGAGTTGATCTTTTCCTCTGATATTGTAGGTGTGTTGTTCCACTCGCTTTGTAAGGGACATATTGTTTTCCTCAATATAGGTCAAACCAAGCAAGATATACCGACTTATAATAAGTATACCCAGTCAAAACTACTTTTAAAATACTTTTAAAATATTCAGCAGGATTCACACTTTGTGAGATCTCGACCTGCAATAATACTACTGCAAACATAATTGTAACATACTTTAAATGCGAACGATTAAATACAATCTTACACGTGTAAATCAGCACTCTGATTGTGTTAAATTTACAATAACATTTGAAGATGCTCAGAAAGATGTTCCTCAATTCACTGTGAAAAGAGCACAAAACTGTGTCAAAGATATTTTCTAACATTTGTTAGGTTTTGACTATTAGACTGGACTATAGAAGTTGTTTGTTTTGTTTAATCGTAATTTGATTTTGTTTTGAACAAAACGAATTTCAGATCACAAAGACATGATTAAATAAAAACAAACTATCTTTCATAGCCCTATTTGATTGTAAACAATATAAATGTTGGCTGTGTTTAAAATTTCATAACATAACCCATCGGGGTTTTTTTTTGCTACCTTTGGTCCTTAAGAGTGGATATTTTACTTAAGTTTTAGGATAAAACCTCTTTACAGCAAAGGTGCAATTGCTCTGTAAAGATATCAAAAAGGCACGTTTAATTAAGATATCCATGTTTTATGTCGTAATTGTAATAAATAGGTTTGTCGTGTCCTAAGAATTAACTCCACCTGCTTATGATATTTCGATAACTGTATTAGTAAAAATGAAAGGTGTAGAAAATAAATTTACAAATTTTAAGTGGTACGGTTTGAAAAAAATACCAAACAACTGTAGCATTCAAACATTTAAGCAGTGGTTGTAGTAATTATGTGGTTGGTTGAGCCTTGTTGCAACATGTAATCGATGTGTATTAACATTAAGCCACGTGTCAGCCAGAGAGTTAGGAGAGCCTTGTCACAAGCGTTTAGTCAATGCAAGTCTGAAGTGATACCAGAATAGTATTGTCTAGATTCAGCAAACTATTGTAATGTAACGCTTCACTTGCTAGGTAAGGTATTTCTGGTTAAATGTATTTAATTGCAATATAACTGTCCAAAAAAGAAAACATACCGTGCTATATTGACAAATTCGGTCATAAGTCTCTTCTTCGTCCTCTTGTTCGTTCCCGAGACACACAAGGAAAATACAACGTTGGCCAATAGTATTTTACTGATATCAGAACTCTGTTTGTGATTAAATTACATTGATAGCTTAATATAATTACAGAGAAGTACCTTAATCCACTTTAAAAAGAGCATACAACTCTAGGGGTTTTACATTTGTTTCTTGTTTACGAACTGACTGGACAATGTAAGTTTGTGTTTTACCTGGTTATAGTTTTATTTTGTTTTAGTCGAAACAAATTTCAGATTACACCTAAATGAACCAAATATTTATTGTTAGATTTTATCCTGAATGAAATAATTAGGGAATTTAGAGAGGAGAGAATTTAGCTTTAGACTTGAGTAATGGAATAGCAATAGAGATTTGCCTTTGAATTAATTCTTTCTAATCTTTATTACTTGTCTTGAGGTTAAATAAATGTATTAGTATTGAAGAGAGAGAAAAATCCTTATAACTTGTTTGGATATTGAAATTCTGTTGGGAAAAAAAATAATAA